AAGAGCTGGCTGCCTGGAGGGAAACAGTCCCAGCTGTTAGAGTAGCGGCCTGGCAGATCTCCTGGTGCATCCCTTGTGGGGATAGCAGACATGACTCAAATATGCTGGCTATGCACCCGGCAAATTAATTTCTGTAAACAATTAATAACATGTCCTAATGGCATCCCTCTCAACTGGCTCCAGCAGAACATCAAAACCTGGTCACATATGTTCTCATTTAAGTCAAATTAGGCCCTGTTTCTAGGCCATAGTTGTAAGCCTACAGTAAGTGTGATACTCCAAGTCAGCACATGGAGATGTCTAGTGAGAATGCGCAGTGCTGGAGGGCAGCCTGTCACTTGTCTGAAGCATGTTAGCACATAATGGACATGCAAGTGGTACAGCACCTGCGACATCCTGACTGTCCAGTAAAAACCGTCAAAGGAGGATTTCTGAAATTATGCACACCTGAAGCCTGCTTCTAATAACAAAGCATTTTAACACTGTTGAAAATACTGTACATGTATAATTGATCTAGACAGTTTCTGCATATATATCACTTTATCAGACTTTTTTTGTGATTGCTAAAATTTTGATGGAGAGACATTGATGTAGAATAATTATTTAGGTTGTTCCATTGTTTATTTTTTTAATTATCAGAAATACAATTATAAGAAGAAATGTCTCCTGTTTTTATTGTGATCTTGTACTGTTTAGGAGATATAATGAATAAGCATGGCAAAAGTATGGTCTGTTCCTTACAAAAACAGTCCGTTGTATTAAAACCTGAATGCTGTCTGAAGAATTTTGAATTGCTACAGTATATTCCTTTCCCATGTGCACATGTAATAAATCTGTTTAGTACCGACTGCTGAATTTGTTTAAGGAAGACTTTATCCTTACAACTGTGTATGAATTTTCTTGTCTTTACAAAAAAAGCTCTTTGCCATTATAGGCTTAAAAAATGTAAGTTTCAAAATAAAAGCACTAAAGGGAATGAATGGCTGTAGCTACTGCATGAGTGAACCGATAAATCTTGGATCTTATGCCATCTGCTTCAGGATATTGCAAAACCTTGGTAAAGTTGGTCCAATTTTGTACTGGACCAACTTTACTGTAAAAAAGAAGTTAAGAATTCTCAGGCTGTTCTTCCTTACTGATCATGGTTGTCTCATGATCCCTGAGACTGCAGAATTCTGAAGGGAACTCTACAGATAATTGAAAAACTTGTCTTTTGTTGGGTGTTTAATTGTATTAACACATACACACAAGAAAATGAATAATTTGTGATTTGTTTAGTTGAGTAGATTTGTGGTGGTTTGGGTGAAACATTTCAGCTTCTCACATAACCAAGTAAACATAAGCATGACGGAAGCTGCACAGTTTAGGAATAAATAACAAATATATATCACCTCTTGCTAAATTCACATGACTAGTGTATTTATACACTGGAATTTAAGAAGAAGCTTCACCTGAAATTGAAAATCTTTCATGAGTAGTATAAGACGCTTTCTAGTAAACATAAAATAGCTGAATCTAAACACACTTTAAACAGGAGTGTGGAGGGTTAAAATGATTTTTGGCAAATATATGTGCATTTGCACATTAGTATGCAAGTGTGTATCCTCAAATAGTTCAATACCTTAAGCACTGCAGTTGTGTGCAGTAAATATTAGCTTTTCATATGAATACGGCCACCCTCTGATATTCAAAGGCAGAAATCGTTATTTTTTTTATTTGGCAGTAATTTGTAAACCCGCAGCAGACAGTTCGGTTACATTCAACAAACATTAGGTAACCATTTAATTCAATCAGCATTTTAAACCAAATTCTTTTTCTTGGTATCGCCCTTACTTGCAAATAAATGTGAAGCACAGTGAAAAAACATAGAGGGCTTTTGGTCGCCCACCACGGTCGATGAAACTGAATGATATATATATAAAGATACAAAGAAGAAAGAAGGCTTCTCAAATTGAATTTGAGGAACAGACGCATAAATCACCAATAATGCGAGAGTCACCCTGGCAGGCTGTCAGGCCCAGGATAGGGGCCAGTGACAGGCAATCCAAGCAGTCACCACAGGCATGAAGAAAATGAAGAGCTCACTAGAAGCAGCGAGTCAGTGCAGTCACATTTTCCGTGGGCTTGAGTCCCAGCCACAGAGCTGTAAGCAACAGCAGTGGGATGAAGGGGAAGTCCACTTGTTATACCATTGGCACACTGTGTTCGGCTCCAGCCCTACACTTACTCACGAGCAGCGCTGTAGGTGTTCAGCAGGGATAGAATTCCTCTCTAAACAGTCCCTCCTCCGTCCAGTTTCTGTGGTAGAATTATGTTGCCGAGGATAATTTAGGTATCAACCGGCTGCGGCTTACCTTGTGTATTTTTTTGCCCTTCACTTGCCTGAATGTACCAGTGCATTTCAAGACAAACTGGAGTTCTTGCAAGCCTTACTTCACAAGACCTTTTGTGACTGGAGCCAGGAGTGTGTAAACTCTCTAGTTTTCCATCCAGACATGGATATGCCTAGTGCCTTTATTTATCTGTCTTGCTGAATATGAATGCTGCAGTCATCATGATCTGCTTTTCCGGCTACGTCACCGTCTGTAATTTTGTTAGCAACCATTACAATATATAAAACTGTGCTACCAGTTCACCTACAACATGTATAAAATATCCAGATAAAATTGTTTGAAGTGCATTTTTTCAGCTTCATTTAGCATTTTGCATTGAATTTCATTTAGTTTGTTGTGCCAGTAGAATTACCTGGAAAATCTTAAATTACTTTTAAGTCCTGATGTAGCCATAGCTAAAAAGCAAGGTGTGTTTCAGAGCAGCAAAGAGGTTTTGAAAATATAATAATGAAGACCTTTAACTGCTTTGAATGAGAAGCCATTTATGAATGTATTTATTTTTAGGCTTTCGGTGCTTTGGTGCAAAACAGAATACATAATATGGCAACACGCAAATGTAGCAAATTGTATCCACGTTTAGATGGAAGATTTTTTTGCGTTTTTTGATTGGGATCTGCAAGACACAGATGAAGTCGGTATACACAGGAATTCCCCCTGTTTCAGGAAAAGGTTAATAGGCATAAAAAGGATAGGAAAGAGCAGTAGGCTTCCTTTTTCCACACTCCTTTTCCCCTGTGAGCCAGCAATTCACCAGAGAATGGGTGGAATGTAACAATCCCAGTTCTCCAAGACTACGCCTTCTCTATGACTTTCTGTTTTTTAATTTAAAGTGCAATTATAAAAGCTCATTCACGTTGTGCTGCTATTCAGCAATTTAGTCATAGCTGGCAGGAAATTCCTATTTGCTGTCTTTCACATCCTAGTGGTATTGAAGAACAACAAGAAAGCTGCGGTGCCGAAAAAAGTTTATTAAAGGTGTTAAACTCAAGGCATAAAACTACTTCTGAGACCGGTCTTGACAATCGTCTCTGAAGAATTTAGAAGTTCAGCTATAGTTGTATGTGAATTTCTAATCCATTGTTGCATTTTGTTCAAGACACTCTGTTGTCCCCATTAGAACCTTCCAAAATAGGAATTATTAAATGAACAGCATTTCAAATGGAGAACCTATCTATGGTCTGTATTGATCCCTTTTATACAGCCCTCTATGGAACCCAGCTTCCACAATAATAATGGCATCACAAGCAGTTACTTGGTTTCCGTTGATTTGGTTTTAGAGCATTGTAAATGTCCTATTGGATTTGAGCAGTGTTGCTGCTGACTAAGCTGCGGCTAACACTCATTCTTTTTGAGAAAACAGAACACATTTTAATCTGCACTTCTTAGACACTTTTGACAGAACTGTAGCTTTCCTAAAGGGCTTCACAAGGATTATGAATAGCTTAACAGTGTTAGTGAATCATACAATGTAATTAAAATTAAAAACATTAACATTTAATTAGAAAAGAAGCAGTCTAAAATATCAGAGTATTTTGTACACTACCTTCTATATCCTTTTACCGAAGACACAACACATGAGCGGATCCGGTCAGAAAGCCTAATTAGTGAAAGTCCTCCCAGATAGATAGATGTTTTTTCTTTGTGTATGATATGTAAGCAGTCCCTTGGTGCAAATTCTTTGATTAAATTCTAATTTCTATTCAGAGTTTGTAGAACATAACGAACAACAGATTAAGCTAAGACACTAAGTCCTGCCTCATTACATAGATTATTTTTCTGCTAAACATTATCTTGTTAAAATTCTCACCCAAATTTGGTTTTGTGTTTTCAAACGGTGTCTGCTCACCCACTGCAGCAATACCCCTGCTAGTGCTGAGGATCCTTCTAAGCACTGGCGAGTTTTGATTGTAGAAGTAGTCCAGTTGCGATCCCCCTGAAATTCTGTGTGCGATCTCTGCTTCAGCTTGGCAGTTAAGTTTTCAATGTGTCCACCTAGTGGGAACTTTGACAGAAAAATGGCAAGGCAGTCTAGGACACAGCGGACTGTAATTGCACCACAGATATACTGTGAAGCAGTGCTCTGCAATAAGTTTTCAAAACTCTGCTGATTTCAATCACAGCTATGTCTTCATTTCCAGGTTTATTCTTGAAAACCACAACTTATATTTTTCGCTGTAACTGCTATCAGCATTTTCGTGAATTAGACTGTTTTGAAATACTATGCCTGAGCAAACCCCAAATTTAAATTTCAAAAATATAAATACCGTTGGAGTGCTTGCCTTTCACTGATGCTTTCAATTTATAGCTTGATTTTGAATTTGGTGAATGTAAAGCTTCAGGAAATAGATATGTTTTAGTTATTACAGGCTTTGTGTTTCATTAAGGTTTAATTTTACTCTTTTCATTAATGTAACTGTCATTTTAAAGAAGCAGGACACCTTTCTTAATCTTTTATGAAAAGTAAATTATAAATGAAATCTATATCCAGGAAGGTTTTAATGTTTTGAGACTGTAGACCTTGGTGTGTTCATGACTGTAAACATATGAGCTATAAACATATGAGCTGCAATTTTGCTTTATTGAACTGTTTATCTTTTGTCTTTTCAGGAGTCGGAAGATTCAAATCCGGAACATTCCCCCACACCTTCAGTGGGAGGTCAGTTCTTCAGTTTTGTTACTTTATATTAATTTGTTTTTACTCCCTTTATCTTGCATAGATATAGAAAAATAAGCACAACCTTGGTCAGTGCAATTTCAAAATTGTTTTTTTCTTCATAGAGCTACTGCTTGAAAATATTACATTTGAGATTGCTGTTGTCAATATCTGTTTGTCTAACATTTTCTTGCCAAATATTATTGTTCATTTTTTAAAAGGAAAACATATGTTGAGCAGACTCCTCTGCGAGACACTGTATGGTTTCTTAAGCAGTTTCAATGCCAAAGTTGCCATTCCTTTATCCAATCTGGCTGAATTCTTGTTACCATTTATGCACCTTCTTATTAGTGTCATGTTTTAGTTTTTGGGCCTGAAAAGCTTTAAAAATATCATATTAGCTCTTTTGAATGTGCAACACTTCATGCAAATGATTGCTCTTAAAACCTTAGGAAAGTAACTATAGTGCAGCATTTTAACAGTTTTTTCTAGCAGTATTTGATCTGTCACTTTTATCATTTAGACCCTTTATGTGTATTTTTTTAAGAGCGAGTAAGTGTAAAAAAATATACTTTGTTTAATATCATTACATTTGCTACAACTGTTTATTTTTAATAAGTGAAGTTTTTCATTGATTGATTTATATGCTCTATACAGTTTATATATCTGTCAGCATCTATACAGTGCAAAATGAGAGCATTCTTGAGGGTGCTGTCTATGGGATACCACTTTTAGAGTTTTAAAGAAAAGATTAGAGGAGGTCAAAACTTTGCCCATTTCCACCTACCAACATAAATACTACTGGCTTGCATTGATTTGTTTTTACATCCCTTCCACCACCCACATCGTCACCCTTGCTGCAGCTCCCTAGCTCATTCCTTATTAAAAGCAAAGAGTTGCAACAGCCCAGTCCTTACAAATCGCTTCTACAGTACCTTCTATCATACAAATATTTAGACAGAGATGCCTCTTCAGCAGCTTTGAATGATGTCAGACTTATAGAAGACTCTTTTTGTACTGAATGGAAGCAGTTTTCTTCCAGTTAGTGCATTGGTCTTTATAAACTACATCTTACTCTTTCCAGGTTGTGACAGACTAAAGTAGCAACATGTAAGGAGGTGTAAAGCTTCAGTTTTTGAAACCCTGCTGCTTGTGGTTCAAAACTGTAAACCAAGCTTTTCTTAATATTCCATTTACCAGTGCTGGTTGTTCTTCAAACACACCTGTTTCAGTCTTTACTGTTATAGTCAGCTTGCACCACCAAACCTGGTAGAGTAGGTGTGTTTTAGCTCTATATTTTATTCAAAGCTGTTTGTTTTTTAGGAATTCCTAGAAAGAGGCATGCTGCCGAGTTGCTGCCTGCAAATCAGAATCCCTCTGAGGCATCTGCTGTAAAAGCTGACCCACTTTTGATTTGATTTATTTATTATTTTTGTGCCCCTGTGCTGTAACGTGCAGCATGTTTGGCTGGTATAATGTATGGGTTACATTGTGTCTACAACACAGTGGTTAACCTGGATTTCGGGGCTGTGAGGCAGGTTTATTTTAAGGATTCAGGCAGGCAGGAATCATTAGCAGCTAAAATAAGTAGCGCACAGTGATAGTTTAAAACTACTAGAAGAAGGACCAATAATGCTCCAAACATTTGTATATTATACAGTGCCTTGTAAATTTATTCAGACCTTTCCTTTGGTGTCCCATTTGATTAAATTATAAAATAATGCATATATACTTCTTTAAACTTAATATTGTAATCAAAATTTTAAGGTTTAGATTAAAGACTTCTAAGGGTCAGTTACAGTAAATGTTAGCAAAAACTAAATAAGAAAATAATGAAATATGTTGATTCCTTAAGTATTTAGACCCCTGAAATCAATAAGTAGTAGAGGTACCTTTGGCAGCAACTGTAGCTGCAAGTCATTTTAGCAACTTTGCACATTGGCTTGGTGCAATGTTTGCCCATTTATCTTGGCAGATTTATTAAATCTTTCTCAGCTTGCTTGAGAATCACTTATCAAGAGCTGTTTTCAAGTCTTGCCACATATTTCAATAGGATTCAGGTCAGGACTTTTAACATTCACATCAGGACATTCACTTTCTTATTCTTACATTAGTCAAATGTAGCTCTTGTGTTTAGAGTCCTACTAAAAAGTTAATTTTTGTCTTTCTTTTTCAGTTGGAAGCAGGTTTTCCTCTAATTTTTGCCTGTATTTTGGTCCATCTATGTTTTCATCTGTGTTAACAATCTTCCCACTCCCTGCTGATGAGGAGCAGAAGTATACTATAACACCTCTACTACTGTGTGTGAGAGTAGGGATGGTGTTGACTGAGGAATGGACAATATTGGGTTTTTGTTAGATGTAATGGTTTGTTGTAAACCCTATGCAGGATTTCAGATGTTTTTTAGTTCCATGTAAGCCCTCTTCATGGATTGAACTGGATATGGCTGACCTGTGGATATTTTCTCCCATCTCAGCCACTAAACCCTGTAGAATGTTCAAAGTCGCCATTGGCCTCACAGTGGCAACCCTAATCATTTTCCTTATTTGACCAAGTGTTCAGTTTGAAAGGACAGCCTGATCTAGGACGTATCTAGGTGCTTTACACTTGCTAATGATAGAACTTACCATTCTAAAAGAGATACTGAGGGTCTTTAAAAATCTTTTATACCCTTCTCCTGAGCTGTGCTTTTATATTTTACCTCTGCGATTTTTTTAAATTTTCTTGGTCTTCAGGGTTGAATCTTTGGTTGAAATTAACTGTCTGAGACAGGTGTATTTATTCTGAAAACATGTGAACTCCTATTATTGCATAAAGAGGCCACTCAGCTATTTGTATGGCTCATAAAAGTCATTATCATGTCATTTACCAAACTGCTTTATACCATACGGTGTCGTGGGAAGCTGGAGCCTACCCGGCAAACACCAAGCAAAAGGCAGGGTACACCCTGGATGGGGCGCCAGTCCATCGCAGGGCAAGTCCTACTGAAAGCCAATCATACATGCAAGCCAATCATACATGGGGACCACGGTAAAGGCTGAGGGGGGACATTTGGCTCGGACACTGGAATAATTCCCTACTCTTATCGAGAAATGCCTGGGGATCTTTAATAACCACTGAGAGTCAGGACATCAGCTTAACGTCTCATCCGAAAGACAGCGCCCACTACAGTATTGTGTCCCCGCCACTATACTGGGGCATTAGGACCCACACAGACTGCAGGGTGGGCGCCCCCCGCTGGTCCCACTAACACCACTTCTAGCCACAACCATAGCTTCCCACACTAACACCACTTCTAGCCACAACCATAGCTTCCCAGGAGGTCTCCCATCCAGGTATTAACCAGGCTCAGCCCTGCTTAGTTTCAGTGGGTAGCCAGTTGAGAGCTGCAGGGTGATATGGCAGCTGGCCTCATTAAATTAATTTTGCTTAACTAAATTATTTAGGTTTGTAAAAATGATGCAATCATGACATGTTTGTTTCATATTATTTTCTTTTTATGTTTTCTTTAAATGTGTAGAGTTTCTCTGTCCTTTCGGTTTTCTCAGTTCTCTCTCTAGTTGTATATGTTGTTCTTGTGATTAATGAATTTTGAAAAATAAAAAAGTTGAAAAAAATAACATGATAATAACTCATAGCATCAATGTGTATGATAGTATTAATGCGTGATATGTGTGATCTGATTGTATTTTGTTATTTCTTCATAGGTTTTGGACAGTCTTTTAGCACAGTATGGCACTGTAGAAAACGTGGAACAAGGTAACATATTCATATTACAAACTTCAGGCTGAATGTAATAATACTTTTAGAGTATTTCTGCCAAACATCACTGAAACGGGCACTTCGCATCCTGTTGTTTTCCTACTTGGTATCAGGTTATATGAGTGTCTGACAATATTTTTAATTGCATTTGTATGTATTTTGTAATATACATATATTACCTCATGTGTCTTGCCCCTTGTGCACCTATAGCCTTGACTAGTTCACTTTATTCAATCTGACTTACTGCTGCATTTCTTGGCACTACCCTGAGAACAACAGAGACAAATCATGTTCATTGCAGTTATTTTTTAAATATTCATTCAGAGTAGTAGATAGCAGTGAACTGGTTTGTACCATGGGGATGGACAGTTTTCTTCAGACAAGATAAAATAAAAAAATAGATGATGACGTATTAATGTTTTTCTCACTCCGCATTAAATTCCTGCAGCTATCCCATATCTCCCTCAATTATATAGCCCTCCAGGTTTTGATCTAAGGACCATTAAAATACTTTCTAACAGGTGTAATGGAACATCAGTGGAACAGGTCTTTGAGTGCGCCACCAGCAGCACTGCAAGCCTCTACTATCTCACCACTGACACTATGTATCCTTACAGTAGAATGTTTCATATAAATAATATCAAAGTAGTCCAGGCTGCAATGATGTCAAAGGAGGGAATATGAAGACTTCAAATGCACCACAACAAGTGTTTAGCTGATCTATCATCTCAGTTAAGGACGGGTGCACTAAAACATGAGCACATGATTAGCAAATGATTAGCTGATCACCAGGAAGTGATTCCACCTGTATATAAAATTAGAAACTTTGTCACTTTTGTCTTAAGCACTGTGATAACAATTCATGCCTAAATCAAAAGACAGTCAGTGATAAGACTGTGACAGTCTTAGAGACAGAATTGTTGCTGCTTATCAGTCTGGGAAGGGTAACAAAGCATTTGTAAACAATATGAAGTTCCATAATTCCACAGTTAGAAAGATAATGTAGGAATGGAGGAAATTCAAGACCATTGCCATTCTAACCAGGAGCAGCCGTCCTACTAAATTCTTTCCAAAATCTAACTGAAAATATGATGCTCCTAGAACTCAAAGATCCCCAAGGTTACATCCAGGGATCTGCAGGCCTATGTCTCTATGGCAAATATGAGAGTTCATGAGTCAACCAACAGGAAAAGATTGAATAAGTATGGTTCTTGGAAGAATAGCTCTCTGTGAAGAACATTGGTGCATGGCCTAAGTTTGCAAAACAGCACTTTCAGGGAAAACATGGAACAATGTGCTCTGGAAAGATTAAATTCAAAAGTGAATTTGTTTGGCCATAATGCATAACATTTTTATCATATTTGGAGAAACTTAATACTGCCTTTGAACAGAAGAACCTCAATCAACCATCAAGCATGATGGTGAGTGTTGATGGTTTGGGCCTGCTTTGGTGCCTCAAGACCTGAGTGTCACAATCTTCATCCCTCCTCTAGAGGGCACTCTGACCCTTTTGTATTTTAGTTTCATTATCATGTTCACCTGCCCCTTGTTCCGTCCATTATTTAAACCTCGTTCCTCTGAAGCTCATCGCTCTGCATTGCAAGATGGATGATTGGAGACCCGCCTTGCATCAAGTCGCCCTACGTCCGCGGCTTGAGGGCATAGGCTTCCGAACGGCGTCCTGACCAAGCTGAGTCCGGGGCTCGGAGCCCCTGGTCTCGTTACTTTACTTTTAACTTTCATGTTCCTAGTTCCATGTCCCCATTCCCTGTTTTTGTCCGTGTCTTGTCTTGGATGGATCTCCTGGTTTTGGATTATGGGCTGCTCCCCGGTTTTCCTATGTGGACTGTCTTGGACTCGTTTGCCTGCGCTCCCCCAATGCACCTGGATCACTGTTGACACCACCCCCTGTTCGCCATCCCTTCCATTCCTCATCATGTTTTCCCTGTAGCCTTTCTCCAGTCACTTCTGGATTATACCGTCTGCACAGGGTCCAAAACAAGCACAGTTACACTGGGTGCCTTGCTATCATTGAGTCCACCATAAATTCCTCACTATACTCAATGTATTCTAGAACAAACAAGCAAACCTATGACAGAATGGCTTGCAAAAAAAGATATTCAGGATTTTGGAGTGGCCAAGTCAAATTCCAGACCTAAACCCTAAAAAGATGCTGTGGTGGAACCTGTGCATGTAAGAAAGTTCTGAAACATCACAGAAATAAAGCAGTTCTCTGAGGGAGAGTGGGCCATAATTCCTCCCAGGTCATGTGAGAGACTGATTAACTCTTACAGGAAATTTGTAATTAAGTTATTACTTAAGTAAGTTAATACTACTAAAAATGGTACCACAAGTTAGTGAGTCAAGGTGTGCACTTTCACACAAAATATTGAATGCTGACTTATGTTTTAAATACATAATGACAAAGTAGACTTTTTGTATGTTATTTGTTAAATAAGGTTAGTTGTATCTCAGACTAGTATCATGATCACTCAAGATCATAACAAAATAATGTACAAACAAGGAGATATATTTTTCCAGCACCTCTGGACACCTTCAGAACTCTGAAATAGCTGCCACAGCATAACACCTGTAACGAACGAGTTCTTTCAGGGCCCTATGCAGACCTATAATATATGTTTCCTCAGTATTAATCATATTTTGAATTCAGTTTTGAGACTTTCTTAGTGATACAGGAGACTCAAGGTTAATTTAATCACAAATTGGAAAAAAAACAAAGGCTTACAAATAAAGTTGAAGATTTGGCGAAGCAAGGTCTCCAGCTCACATTTCACTCAGAGAGGCAGAATTTACTATCATTTCTTTTTCCACGTGAATTTTGAAATTCCTGGATTCAACCCAGTAGCCTAAGGAGGGTTTAAAGGGAAATCATACAACTAAAAATGTAAGCAAGGAATCACATACATTTTTATTAGGGGGAGGGGTGTCAAATTGAAGAGAAGTGGGGTAACAAGGCCATCTGTTCAAGATGGCACCTGTCTTGAAGTTGTTATTGTGTTGGAATGCAGAGGAGCATACTGTAAATCACAATGCCAAGATATCTGTAGTGTTTGACCAGTGGTACAGCCAGATGTAAGCAGGCCTTCCCAACTTTAAAACAATGGGAGTAATACCAATTTAGACCATTTAGAATTGTATACCCTATAGAGCACCAAAACCACCTAACATAGCAGCAAATGAGGGAGGCATTGTAAGACTTTCTACATAAAGCAGCAACATTAAATGAGATCTGTGGTAAAACAATATCAAACAAGTATAGCAAATGAGTATTGAAATCATAAGTTACGTTTTTAGTGCCTGTTATTATAAATTGGCTGAGAGGTTAAATATATTCTGTGTATCTCCTACACCAAGAATCAGAAATATATACTGAATTACAAAAATGTCTGTATGCCTCAGAAACTAGTTCTCCCCAGTTCGTCACCCCCTTACACTTATAAAGAAATAAAAAATAAAATTAAAACCTACTTTGTTCTCTGTAGAAGAGAGGTAATACTTATCTGCAAATCTACAAACATCTTGTTTTTTAAAATGAGATTATTATCAACATATATTTTTTCTCATTTGCAGCATTCAACGGCTAGCATTTTTAGTACATAAATGTAGCTCACACATTCCAGGGCAAAATAGAAACATTTGTCAGATTACATGTATCAAAAACCAAATCCAATGTCAAATAGCAATTAAAGTCTTGAATATATAAAAAATACATAACATCTAATAAAAATAGAGGGATAGAGATAGAGGGACCTGAATTAAGTCTATAATCTTACTATTTAACAGAGTACCACTTCCCTTCCCCCCAAGAATGATGGTTTTGTGATAATTTTAGAAGATATGTTTAGAAGAAGCGTTTTAAATTCTCAGTCAATGCTCCATCCGAGGAGGACACCACTGCCATTTTTCACCAGCTGCTAATCCATAGACATTTGTGGCAGAGTGGCCATCTTAGCCACTTCTAGAGAGTCTTTCAGTTTCCTTTTACTTTGGGAGGAAGCAGATTATGGGGGGAGCCCCAGGCCTTTACAGACCCTCCAAGAGCCAAAATTAAATAAAAATGAAAGCCTGGGGGTTAAAATTCAAAAGAGTCTGGTAGCAGTAATTATAGTATAAAAGCTCCCTGATACTACTCCCCTTCACAACACAGTCTTCATTATAATGCACAACATTAGTTTGCAAGAGTTTGCAAGATCCTACACTCCAAAAATACTAATTCAAAACATTGGAGCAACTTCTTTTAACTGATTTGTTATCTTTTCATGGAATTAATTGTTATACTATGATGCCCAAGTAAAAATTAAAACAATGGCACAGAGCAATGTATTTTCTCATAAAACTATATAATGAAGTAATATACAATGATAGCCTTGTAGGAAGTAATTTAGTGTTTGATCCATGCATATCAATAATCCAGAGGTTAATTCAGAGGTCAATACAGTGGTTCACTCTAATTTTGACCTATTAAATCACAGCCCAGCATTTTCATATTCAAACAACATCTGGAGGATTAAGAACATATTGTGAATGTAGTGTTTCAATTTATTGCTTCTGTCAATGGTCTGCTTAGTTTTACAAAAATGAAACAGTAGAGAAATGACTCAGGAAGGACAATCCATATGGACAATGAGTACAATATTGTATTTCTGTGAGTAATTCTCCATTATCTGTTCTGTGGGTGCTATTCATAAATGAGGTGGGTATTTTAAAAAAAACTGTTTTTTGCTACTGTTATCTATCTCCTGTCCAGTTAAGTTTTGATCTCACTGTCAACAGAAATGAACATCTTGTTTCCAAAGTTTAACAGGTGCCTATGAACTGTATTTACTGTTAGAGCTGGTTGGGAGAAAACTGCTAGACCTTTGCAGATCTTAATTTCACACAGCTGCTCAAACAACAGGCAGACCTCAAGACCTACAGTATGTGACAAATGACCTGATTTTTTTTCTCTCTCCCACAGTTAACACTGACACAGATACAGCTGTTGTGAATGTCACATATGCAGCCAAGGAGCAAGCAAAAGTGTAAGCCAGGAGGGTCTTCTCCTTTTGTGTTTTGATTTTTACACATTTTCACATTTTATCATGAAATATAATGAATATGATCCCATTGTGTGGGCTAATTCCACTGTTCAGATCTTCCCTTCAAGACTAAACTAATCTTTCCATTGCTGGGTGGTAAGTTCTGTAATCAACATATTTAACAGCAGCAATTAATATCACCAATAAGGATAGTTCAGGGAGTTTGGAACCTGATGTTTGCACCTTTTTTATATTCTATGTATGTTTATTCAAAATGAATGTATTTATATATAACTATATTTATATTTATATTAATTTATATTTAAGTGAGCTCTTTTCTTTAGAAAAATTAGTAGTTGGTGCTATGGATCCAGAGCCCAGTCATGTGGGGGGATAAGGGGATTTAAATGCTTAATATGGTTCATATGTAATATGGTTACAGTAGTGGGCTGTAAAGTACATTTCATATTTCCTCTAATAAAAAAGACTTACATACAAGTTAAACCTAGAAATCTTACTATTTTTACTCACCCTGTTTGTAAAGGTTAAACCTCTGTTTATTTTTGGCTGAGCGTTTTTTAACCCTTTCTTAATATATTTTTGTGTATTGTGTCAATCCAATTGAAGGTTAAGCCTTGGTTAATTTTCTTATGTTTTTATCCAATTAATGGTGTGATTTTAGTACGCTGCTTTGCGGTGTATTTATCCACCTCCACTAGGGGCACAGGGGCATTTTTGGTGTGACTGTCCCTCTTGACCATCTTTGAGGGACAGCTCCAATGCTGGATGATACATGAAAGTATTTCACAGGGTTTTACCAACTAGAATTTATTGCCATTAGGAAGCAAAGAAATATACAGAACAGCTAGGAGTATAGCGTTTTTTTATGAAATATATAGAAAACTTTCAAATGTCCTGTAAGTTTGTAGTTTCAACAGCAGTGGTCACTGCTCTGTTCATTTTGTGATAGAATCTGAACGTTATGGGCCATTCTTAAACTTGGCTATTGAGAAAACTTAAAATTTGGCCAGATCTTGTTATGCTTATCAAACACTCTGAGTTTCACTCTAGGAGTCTTAATCAGTCGATCGGTGTCCTTCTCACCCCAGGGCTATTGAGAAGTTGACAGGGCACCAGTTTGAGGATTACTCCTTCCGAGTGTCTTACATCCTGGATGTGGATGCTGCACCCCCGCCACAGAGTTCGCGGTCTCGACGAGGTGGCCGGCAGTCACGTGACCAGGGAGCTTCTCAGGCTGGGCCCTCAGGGAGCCCAGCTGGGCCCCGGCACAAGCAGCATGACTTCCCCCTGCGCATGCTAGTACCCACACAGTTTGTGGGGGCCATCATTGGCAAAGAAGGGCTCACCATCAAGAATGTCACCAAGCAGACCCAGTCCAAGTAAGTAAGTGTGGCCTTTGCGGAAAAACCACCATTTTTGTTGTCCAATTGAGCAGAGCTGTGAAACGGCACCCCCCAGAGGTAGTGTTCCACTGAGACAGAACGGAGATACTCCTTGTCACATCATGCCATTCTTCCATTGTCTCCATAATTGTGCTGTGAGTCTGTCTGCTTCCAAAAAATTAACATCGTTCACAGGAAGCCTATCCATATTCTTTTAAATTTGACATAATTATTAACACACTAAACATTTTTAATGTTTTATATTTCCCCTTAATTTCTGAAAATGTTAGTAAGAGTAAACAGTGTCATAGTGTGTACTGAAGAGAAATTGGAATACACATCTCTTGTTGTTTGACCACATTGCATTTTTGCATGGATTTGAGGTCAAGAAATTAGAATAGGCAGGATTATAAAAGTCTTTATCTTTAGGTGGAACAGAAGGTTTCAGAATAAAATTACCTGGACAGAAGAATGTGTCACTCATGTAATTCCATGTTTCATGTCCCCACTCTTTTTTCATTTCAAATGAAAAAATGACTTTTTCAGTTGGAGGCTAATTAAAAGGATCCAGCAGAGAGCAATAGGATACTGTACTTACTAGATGGTTTTCTTGTGATCTCAGCATGGAAGCTGATATTTCATACTTATGGTATTTCCAAAGAAAAACACAATGGGCATGTGTACTGTATATACTGTGCAGTATGCACCTTCAAGGTGTATATCAATTTGTATTAATGTGTGCGTACCCTTCAGTTCTGTAGCATTATATGTGGTACATTGATATACATTATTTCTGAACTTATGGATTTTAATATGGGGCGGTTGCTGTGCTTGGACCCTGGGTTCAATTCCTGGGGTTTACTGTGGGTACTCTGTCTTTTCCCCACAGTCTAAAGAGATCTTGGTAGGTTAAAGGGGAACTGCAATGCTATTTTCATATTTCAGGGTTAGAAAGAATCAGAACTGATGAGTGCATTTCAAACCACATTAAAAATAAAATGTCCTTAGTAACTTGTAAAACCTCCAATTTACATCACAAATAAGACAAAATTTCCAGGTACGCACAGCACCATATTCTGCAATTCAGAATGGGGCAACAAAACTTCTGGTGATGTGAAGTGGACTTATTGCATTGTAAAGAAGCAGGCTTGTGAATACATTTATTTTAATGAAACAGAAATATTGCTCTTGAGTTCGAGTTCGAGAGTTTTGCTGACAAATTCTACTTACTTCTTCACTCTGCATGTACAGTAGATCACGTTGGAATATTTTTGCAGTGAAATGTCTGCCACACCACTTGTACTTTTTTGTTCATACATTGCATTACATTAGTGATTACAGTGACCAGTGAGCAGGAAGGGTTGCTCTCGCCCGTGATGAGACCTAGGGTTTGCAACAAGATTGCAACTTGCAGTACTTTTACAAAGTTCAAGACTTTGTGCTTAATTAGAAATGTGTAACATTTTTCTATACTGTCAATGAATTAATTTTGTTAAAGAGAGTTAATAACCAATCTGAGAAATTGGAACTACAAGTTCCCTTTAATTAGCTTCTGGCCCTGGTGTGAGTGTGTCATGTTTGTGTCTGTGTTTGTGACCTGCAGTGGACTCTAGTCGTGTCTAGGGTGTATGCTGCCTTGTGCCTGTTGCTTGCCAGGATAGGCTCTGGCTCCTCCATGACACTGTAAGAAGTAATTAGAAAATGGATAGAATGAATGGATTTTAATAATGCAATGACATTTCATGCAATTACATGATAGCAATTACATGATACATGAAAGGAACATTTGCTGCATTCTATACCCCTAAGTATGTAGCATGGTTATAAAAGGGTTATTCTGACTGTATAAAATATTACTAATCCCTTGGTTCATTTTGGCTCATTTTGGACCCATTTAAGAATAGGTATGAGGGTGTGTTGTGTATTCCAGGGTGGATATCCATCGGAAGGAGAATGCTGGAGCTGCAGAGAAGCCCATCACCATTCACTCCACTCCTGAGGGAACCTCCTCTGCCTGCCGAATGATCATGGAGATCATGGAGAAAGAGGCCAGTGAGACCAAGACGTGAGTCTGACTATCTTAAAACATCTTACATGTCTAGCATGTGTCAGTTGAGGGAAGATGTAAGGGATACCCTGCCATTTCTGATTTCAGCTCGCAAGCCCATATAGTCATTTCTCAGAAGGGCCATTTTCTCACATTTGAGGCAGAGACTTAAAGGATAAAACCGAAAGAACCCAAATTAAATTGTCTGAACTACATAAACAAGATCTTGCATTTTGCTTCCATTTTACATGTTTCATGGGCTCAAATTCATTTTGTGCTGTGGGTTTTCTACATACAAAAGTATAAACATTTTGAACATAGGAAAGATTACTGAATTGGCAGTAGGTAATTGGCAGCCATTTTGTGGAGGAGTCCAAGGTATTCATTCACCTTAACAATGTGTCTGGATCTTTTAACCTGAATACTTCACACACAAGAAAAACAAAACATGAAGTAAAATAAGACTTTGTAAAGAAACAAATGTCTATTTGTAGGTTTTTTATCTTCATTAATGTATTTGTAGCTTTCCTACATCAATGAAATGTTTATTTTGGGGTTAACAACATACAATACCATTCCTATAGAATATTTATTAGACCTTAATAGATTTAGAGTTTTAATAACAGAGCTTGAAAGACATGTTTTCCCTTTGCTAACCTCTACTGGGTTGAAGATAAATATCTAGAAACAGGCTCTGAATGACGGGTTTATGAAGATTGTGTTAAACATATTTCTCCTTTTACTCAGAGCTGAGGAGATTCCACTGAAAATTCTTGCCCACAACAGTTTAGTCGGGAGACTGATTGGTAAGGAGGGCAGAAATCTGAAGAAAATTGAACAAGAGACTGGGACCAAGATAACTATCTCCTCGTAAGTGTCAGTTTGATAAGGTCTGTTCTGCATCTGTATTATCAATATTGAGTTGAATCATGTCAGTTATGTTTACAGGATGCAAGAAGAACAATGTCCTTTTTCCTGGAAGCAAAACATCTGATCGGTGTGGTTTTGGTTGGCTTGTGATAGGAAGTCGGTACCCATAGAGAAGGACACCTTAGATTTTCCTCACAAAAACTAGCAAAGGATAACACTGGACTGGATCCTGCCATAAGTAGGTTGGAAGAAAGAAAAACAGCTGTAGCCCTTAAAATATTGAATTGAAGCAATGTTTCAAAACTGAACTACGTTCAGACTGCAGCATCTTAATTGTATAAATAGTAATAAATAGTAGTGTGTTACAGTAATACAGTGTGTAGTTTTTTCTGTATCAGCAAGTGTAGCAAGGTTTTTTAAAACATACATTTTAATAAAATATATTTCTATAAAAATGACATTACACACATTGCACATTTTTCTAAGATAGTACTGTACTGCAATTCTTTAATTTTCTTTTGAATAATATAGAACAGTCAAAAAAATAAGAGATGAAAAATAATTAGTCAATGGTTGCTACTTCATGGATAGTGAATGTATGCTACTTCAGCTTTCTTATGAAAGCCTCACACAAAAGGGTTATTGATGGATAAACCCCCTACTTTAGATGGGTATAGTGAGATAAATTAATCTAATTCATCATGAGTTAATGCCACCCAATCTGTTTTCCCTTGTATATTTGAAAGATTATTGACTCTTTTTAGCAGAACTAATTAGCTTGCGAACATGTGGACACCTCACAGCTCCGTTTATTTAAACCATATATGCCCAACTGATTAAACTGCTCCAGTCTCTGAGATGCATTAGAAACATGTTTATTACAGCTATTTAATGGGCTGTGTCTTCTAACCCTCATCCATTTGGGCTAATGAATGGCTCTGCATCTGTGCAAAGGAAACCATAATGAGACCACTGAAAGATTGCTGAAGAGCCAGAGGAAGAAAGGTTGACGGATGACTTACCTCAGTTTTTTTTTTCAGATTTAATGCTGGATGTTAGTTATGTCTCTTGTTTTACCTTATTTTACATACAGTGTAGACTTAGGTTTAAGCTATTGGGACAATCTCTACATTTATCCTGCCAAAACATTTCTTAATGCTTAGAAATGAATGTGTTGTTTTCCCCCGAATATGTTGTTTTTCAGGTAAAAGATTACAAAGGCATTCAAATAGAAAATTTAAATGCTCATTTTGTAAATACTCAATATCAACTCTACAGTGTACTCTGCTTTCTGTAATGAATGATACACGAATCAGGGGCAGGACAAAAATTGCTCTTCTGCTGAGCTCTGTTAGAGGACATTGGGCTTTGCCAGGTTCTTAATAATTTAATTGAACCTGATTAAGAGCAAATTAGACTGTTAACATTTTTAGTAGAATGAAGTCTTACAGTGAAAAAGATTGGAAAAGCCATAGGTGTCCTTCTCCTGTACATTTTGGAAAGGAAGATTGGCAGCAGTAAGCCACCTTTTTTAAACTATCCCTGTGTCTTTTTCAGCCTACAAGATTTAACCATTTACAACCCAGAGAGGACCATTACTGTAAAAGGCAGTATTGATGCCTGCTGTAAGGCTGAAGTAGAAATCATGAAGAAACTTAGAGAAGCCTATGAGAATGACATTGCTGCTATAAATGTAAGTGTGCATTTTCTGTTCTGAATATGGTGGGAAAGTGTCATAATGTACAATTTAGAAAGCTGACAACTGTTACTGATTTTACAATAAGTTACAATCCTTCCTTTTAATTGTATTTTCTATCTATTTGTGTTTTACAAAAGAATGAAAAAGATGTAATCAAATACCTGTTAATTTCCCTTTCTTAAACTTTTTAGAAGTAATACACTTATTAAAGTACTATTTCAAATTCCACAAAATAGTAAAAAAAGAAATAAATGATCAAAGCTGGATCATTTTCTTATGAAAGATATACATTTATAAATGAACTATAAAATTTAGCTATTATTAAAGGGTTGCTGTGTTTAGCAATAAGGCATGTTCTGAAGTTAGAAACAGTGATATAAGCAAGGCAACCTAAAACATAAGTACCTACTGTACTATTATTGTTATTGTGTTAGAATGGTCTCTTTATTTAAAGCAATATGAGATAATTATTACAGTTATATTACATTGCAATTGCAAAAAAATAGTATCTCTTAGATGTGTGTAACTCTGGCACTGGACATCATGAAAATCTATTATTTTTGTCAGAACTGCCCATAGCTTTCTTTCTGTTGTGCCCTGACCACTGCCTTAACAAAATGCCTGTTATGAGTGCAAGACTCTTAAGTAACGTCTGTCATTTCTGTATTGTGGTTTAATGTTGTGGAGTGTATATCTTAATGTCTGGACAGACAGGTGTGGTGCAGCATTGCATGACAGTGGGCTGTATGTTCCCTGTAGCATGAATCGCATTGCTTTGCTATACTGTTAGTCATACTAGTGATGTAACCTGTGCAGTTAGCCCTACCCTGCCTGTCGAGTGAGTTGTTGGGGTGATCTGCACTCTGGTCTTGTACAGTCTGGGCTTTCTAAAGTCCCCCTTAATTCAGTTGTTCTACACCTGATCTGCTCTGTAGTGGGGATTCTGGTACAAATAACAACTACTACTCGTCACGAAGGTGGGTACTGTACTTCAGTGGCAGATGAAGTGGATCCCCACCTATTTCTTCTTATTTTCCCTGCCTGACAGCCTTGCATTATCCAGTCGCAACTCACATTGTATTATAGTTTGTGTGACTCCACCGTCACCTTCATGTAACTCATCATGAATGATGACAAATGAGCATGTCAGGAAGCGTCCTGACATCCTTGATCGTTTGATCCCTATCAAATGTCTTGTATTGAGATGTGGAAATGAAAATAAATATTTGGGATGTCACAGTAACATCTGTTAGGGCAAGTCTTTTTACAGTACAGTACTTTTCTATCCTTGTAGCATCAAAGCACCATTTATTGTTTCAGTCCAGATATTACACTGAGACTATTCATCACATGTATAATGAATAAGCCAATGATGTCATGCAGAACAGTTATAACCTACAACATGTGCCATCCTGGAAATCGTATTAGAAACTGCATATGTTTTGCTGCTTGCTAACAGTGCATTCCTTTCACAAAACCTTGTAGTTATGCTGCACATACTTCCCCTGTGTGTTTTCACAGAAGACTACACTGTACAGTTCCTTCAATATGTTGTTCTGGCACCACACATGTCTGTCCAGGCCAGTAGTCTGACATCATGAACCTCCAGAGTTGTCTAACCCTACTAGATTTCATGGCTGACAGCTGCAGTTCATGTGTTGCTGTATGAGAATGGGACTTTATAGCCATTACATAGCTACAGTATCACCTGAAATCAGGTTAGAACTTTCTGTCAGCCTTATGGTGAAGCACATATTAGGAAGATGTAATTAATTTTCATGATAGAATATCCATTGAGTTTCAGGAAGTAATGAAAATGTTATTTCTTAACTTTTGCTGCCACTGCTTTTGTGCACACAGTCTTTGGTTTTCTTTTTGCACCAAGTCCTCTCGTTCTGCCTTGTGATTTACATGCTTCAATTCATCTTTCAGTTTCACTCTAGTTTAGGGAGAGAAAGGGCTGCTTATGGCATGTTTACAATCAAACTGTTTTTATGATATGAAAAAGTAACATTTTCAAAAAGTGATTTTTTTAGCCGATGGGGCCATCTAGCGGAACATTTTAAAATGACGTTTTGTCTGTATAGTGTATTTTTGTATATTAAGAGAAAGAACAGCAGTTAATGGAGGTGAAATATTTTTATTTGCTAAGTTCCTGTTCAGAGAATGTGTGGTTAACTGGTGTCTTGTTTGTGGTGCAGCAACAAGCCAACTTGATCCCTGGGCTGAACCTGAATGCTCTAGGCATTTTCTCGACTGGACTGTCGGTGCTTCCGCCTGCAGCTGGACCTCGCGGAGCTGCCACGGGTCCCGCTGCTGGCTACACCCCTTTCCTAGTGAGTATACAGCACCTCCGCCATTCCTTCGTACCCATACCCAACTGTATGGCACCTGGGAATGTCTTGAGAATGTGTGTCAAAGGCTGCTCTTCAGCCATATTAAACCCACCCCCCCACCCAAACAAAATAACAAACATTTGCCTTTATCTATAAATCTCATCGGGACAGGTGATAACAAGCCTAGAAATAATATATCCTAGATTGTAATGCATATAAATGTAAAATGTCATGGTCCTTTGGATGCAACGCATTTAGCGGTGACACTAGTTTTACTGAGGTCTGAAAATCATGGTTATTATCCTGAGTTATTTTTCTATATTTTTTCAGGTCCACAAAACTTAGCCTTCAGTGCCTCCACGTAGTTTTTCAAATGGAAAGACATAGCTTTTACTCATTTTTGATTTCTTACTTAGTAGAAGGTCAGTTTGTTGGAAACTTGCAACACTAAAGAAGGTGGGAAGCAGCTGTTCTGTATGTCTGGTTTTAAGAACTACAGTTCTTGGTTATAGCAAATCCCAGTTCAATACTTAATGTCTGACACAATAGCTGCATCCCCACATGATGTTGTGGAACTGTGGTTCGGGATCACAGTCATGGAGAAACAGCAGCGGAGTTTGTGTTTAGGGGAGGAAATAGAAAATGCAAATTTTATTTTGTCCTTTTTTATAGGACAAAAATGACTCAGTCAAAGGATGCACAGGGTGTGAAGCTTTTATCCAGTGATTTGTGGTATGTTTCCACTCTAAATGGTTAGAGTGCAGAGAGCAAGGGAGGAGGCTGTGTGGCTTGTTTTTTGGGTAAAAGAGTGTAGCTTTGTCATTTTGGTCAGAATGCTGAACAAATGTGCTGACTGTAGTTTCTCTGCTGCTGTAGAGTCACTCATCGCATTTGGGTGGTCTGTATGGGGTCCCTCCTGCCAGCGCCTTATCCCATCAGCACTCAGTAAGTGCCCCCTGCTCCCCGTCGTCTCTGCTTCTCTTTCCACTGTGCCCTCTGTACTTGCCCACAAGAAGCGGTGCCCCAAACCCACTCTTACACCCAAATTCTATCTTGGTCACGGTTATATCAACATGACCTTTTCTGCCACTCAGTCTTTCAATATTTACTTATCATTGGTCTCCCTGCCTTTAAAACTATAATCAGTTATCTATTAGCAGCTTAAGTGACACAGCTAAACCTAAGGAGTTATTTATGTGAAGTATACAGGTCCTAATGGTTATTTTCAGCATCAGTTTAGATTTCATCATGTATCAAAAGATTTATAGCTAATTTTAAAATCTTTAATGAATGTTATAGTCTTTTCTGCAATTGCTACTAATACCGCTGTGCTACCACTGTAAATAAAAAACAGAGAAGATATTTTTCTAATAATAGGAGTTGGCAGCAAATTCCCTGCATGATTTCACTAGTTGTCTGAGAAACTGAGACAGAAAAATTACAGATTTGCCCATAAAGCATTATTAAATTGTACAGCAGTTACAGCTACACATTATATGCATTGCATAATTTCAAAGGAACACAACTGCTGTTTTCATAAGAAAGCATTTCAGTTGTTGTTCATACTCTTGGTGTGGATGGTAAATGTTTAATAGAGCTCATCCATACCAAATTGTTTGAGACAAGAAAAGCTCTGAGATGTCATAATGTGGATCTGCAAAAAAAACAGGACATTTTAATAAGTATTGCAAAGTAAAGCAATTTGTAAACCTGGTGGAGATGGTTGGATATCTGGAGTATACTGTCAAGAGAGAGACTTCCCCCCTAAAATAAAAAAAGTCCAATGAGAGACCTTTCCATGTTTAATCTGTATCATATGACCTTACCCAGTATAAAGCACCATATTATACTTGACCAAAAAAAGGAAAAACCTTTCTCTTTCCCACACACCGAAATGAAGACAGAAATCATTGACTTATACAGCCCTGCTGAGGCTCATTGTATATTATTAGTAAGAATTGCTCTTTTGAAAGAACAAAACAGATTGAATCAATTCACTAAAACTGCCACATTAACCTCAACCCCCCATCTTCTGTCCTTTTCACCCTACTGAATGTTCTTGGCAGGATATCAGTAAAAAAGGATTTTTTGTTGTCTAAGATCACAAGAGGTATTTTGCAAGTGAATGACAGATTTAGTGCTGACATTTTCAAAGAACTATTAAAACATCTTAAATCTCCAGCAAAGGCACTTTGTATACCCACAATGAGATTCCCAATTGAGGAGGGATTTCAACAACAATGTTAACAGACATGAATTAGATCTGGATACCACTGTCTATGTCCCTGTAGTGTTTCCCCCTGTGCCGTACAGGTGGGGCCAAAGATTTGCAGCCCTATAGCAGTCAATTCTGCATTGGTCGAATTTTTGGAATTTCTTTGGAGGTCTTGTTCCCATTATTGTAACGGTCATTATTGTATTTACCTTATGGTCTACAAGAAAAACCCATTAAAAAGTATTGAAATACATTAGTGAAACAGGAGGAGCTCTTAATAGACCTTCAATGTTCATAGTCCCGCTATCAAAAGCTGACCTTCTGCAAAGTAATGTTACTTCATTGGCTGTTTATTTTTGAGAAGTTTAATGTACAACTAGACTATATTTGGGGGAGGGATGGGGGGTTGGTGGTTAGTCCCAGTGCCTCTGGGACTGTGATACATTGTCTGCAAAAATTCAGGCATTGCTTCTTTTTTCCCTCCTACATTCAGTGTAAATGTTATGACAAGAAGATGTAAAAATGAATCATGAACCTCTCACACTGCTTTTCACTCATTGTTATGAAGTGACAACTTTTTTAACAGCTGCACATTTCCATACCTCTTTGTCCCATGTGTTTTTGAACTTTTCCTTTGATTGCAGCTTTAGGGCTGCTTTTTGCTTCTCAAAACCTAGAGTTTCATAACAGAACAATAGACAGCGGTCACAGCCACTTTATAAACTATATAAACTGTCTAGACTGTCTAGAAGGTTTCTTCTGGGTGCTCTAGTTTGGTACCTGAGTCCAAAATCATACTGGTACTGTACGTCAATTGAGTTCTTGGAGAATTACCCCTGGTGTGCGTGGGTGTGTTTGTGTCTGTGTGTGCTCTGCAATGGACTGTTATCCTGTCCAGCATGCATCCTGCCTTGTGCCCATTGTTTGCCAGGATAGGCTGCTCTCCAGTGAGTTTGAATTGTATGAGGAGGGTAGAAGATGGATGGATATATTAACAAGAATTGCCAAGTGCTCAATAATGAAGGGTGATCATTAAAGTACATGTGAGATTTCTCTGAAAGAGTGAAGAAATATTGGACTTATCAACTTGTATTTAGTTAATTGTGAATCATTACTTAAAATCAATATTTTTTCAGTTTTTAGGAATGCACTGCATAAGGATTAACCAAAGCGCTGGTGAGTAGTTCACATCTTGTGTGAACTTGCTGACTCTTTAAGGTCTCTTCTTTCAGCAGGTTCCTGAGCAGGAGGTAGTCTACCTCTTTATTCCAACTCAGGCTGTTGGAGCACTCATTGGCAAGAAAGGGCAGCATATCAAACAGCTGGCCAGATTTGCAGGAGCCTCCATTCGGGTAAGAGTCCATTTACTCCTCCACACTTCGAAACAGCCAGGGTTTGTTGTGCAAAAGTTTCATCCTTATACTTCAAGAATTTATGCACAGAATAAACCAGCCTTTAGGCGAGTATTTTATCTGGCTGTGGTCAGTTATTTAAAGAATGTTGAGTTAAAACCCTTGGCCTTTTTTGTGTTACACAGAATTTGCTGACACATTTAAGGCCATGCCCTAGTAAAGGGAAAAGATACCAAGAATGTAATTTACAATTCACTGTGCATTTGCGTTTTTTTACATTTGCTCATTTTTTAGCAAGAAACAGTATTTCATTTCCTCCTGTGGTTCTTCTTTAAAAAGTACTAGCAGTTATCCGTGTCTTAACTTCATATGTTATGGTTTCTTGGTGAGGCATTTGTTGTTTTTCACCATAAAATCTCCATGCCCTCCCCATCCCATGGATAATGCCCTTCAAGAACGTCAGTTTTTCCAGTACTCTGCTTCCTAAGCTGCTTGTTCTGCTACCCCCTTCAGAATGGATAGGTACTGAATCACTCTTTGCAGTCTAAATATGGAGGGATACTTGAAGTCAGGCATTGACTCACCCATGCATGCATTATCATGCCCATCACCACACTGACTCACGGTTACATCTGGACTAGGAGGATGAGGCTGGTTTCAGCAGAAAAGCGTCTCAATACAGGAATTAAATAAAACCCTGTTTACTGATAAATGACTAATTCATCAGGCATCCAACAAACACCTAACAGATGACCTCCTTCTTCTCTTGTCCTAAAAATCCCCACTGACAAATCTAGTAGATACACTAATTGGAATGCTTTAAAGCTTTTCCTGTCTAGAAAAATTGGATTCATTCATACTTTTCATAATAAGGTTTCACATAATAAAACCTACTGTATGTTTTCATAAGAAAGTATGACTAAGCTGCATACTGTACATGATATTGTAGTTGTGGCATCTTACTTGATTTTGATTTTGATAGAATTTCTTAGGCACAGATTGTTTATGTTAGTGGCGTTTTTTTTTCTTATTTGCTTTATCAAAAAGCTTATATTTTTCTGGGGATAAACTTCAGCTTGCAGTCATTATTATAACTGCTATCATGTGCAATTGGTGGAATTTAGAATAATTGTCAGTGGGGGACCTAATGTATTTGGTGTTCTCCTGCTGCTAATCAAATGATATAACCCCTGCTCTCTCCTTTACCCAAGGCCTTTAACCTCATTTTATTTTGCCTACATTTCTGACCAGGGTTATATTCTATTAATGAATTTAATGACTCAGGTTATTTTTCAAAACTGCTGTTAATGTCATTCAACTCTAAAATGGCATTTCAAACATTTGTCTCACCTGCAAGCAATCTGAGGACATCTCTTGTGGTCTCCTCAAAGAACACAATGCACTGATGATGATAAATTGTGTGCTTGAGGTGCAAACAATATGGTAAATAATTGATGTGTACAGGGGATTTAATGTAACTAAGTAGTATTCGTATGCACTCTTCTGAAAGCTTAATTTCTCTTACCGCTACAACTCTTTCATACAATATACACCTTTCATCCAAAACATTCATTGTTAGGCCATGTAATCTGCAAGTTGTCACTATCATCAGCCAGCGGAGATCAACTCACAAAAGAACTAACCAGTACCAGCAGAGGGTTAATAATAAGAAGTGCCACCACATGTGTTAACCCATTAGCATACGCTCTACTGTGCGGCGAGCAGCACTATTTAAACCATCCTAACCTGCTTCCCGCTGCTCGGTATTGAGTCTTCTCTTTGAGAGCTCTACCTCGCGTTTACTCTGAATCTCATTTACCGGATACTGAACTCCCTTTTGCCTTCTGTTTTGGATTGTTTGCTTCTCTCTGTACTTCCTTGATTTCAATCTACCTTTTGCCTATCGACTACGATCTCGCCTGACGTTCCGGATTGTTCGCCTGTCTCAATATCTACTTGCTCCTGCGTCTGCACAGGATCTGTATACCTTTTCATTGAGGATTCCTGACACAAGTACAGCATCACAGCTCTGTGGATGGAGGACTGACAGTTTTGTCAGAAAGCACTGCAGGGACATGTGAACCCACACAGCCCCAAGGATCACTGTACTGTGTGCACCAAGGAAACACTATCAGACTTTAAATTCATCCATCCTCTCTATTATTGTGTGTCTCCTTTTTGTGCTTCACATTGTGGACTACAGGGTTATTCATGTATTATGAGTGAAAATGTTTGCTTGTTGAGCCACTAAGGTGAAAGAATTGGCTGCAGCAGTTCAGTGGTGATGTCTTGAAGTACCCTATTACCTTTATCAAGTGCAGTCACAGCAATCTGAAATGAAAGAGTAAAGAAACTCAATTAGTTAAGGAGATCTAATCTAAATACAATGTGCTTTTCAGATTGCCCCAGCAGAAAGTCCTGATGTTACCGAGAGGATGGTCATCATTACTGGACCCCCTGAAGCACAGTTTAAGGTGAGAGAGTTCTAACATGAATCTGGTCTAGACTGTAGCAGCTCTGACCTTTAGAGGAGTGTACAGATCAGAAATAATGAATTTCATTGCCCAGATAGTATAAAAAGTGATTCCTTTTTCTATTTTCTGTTTTCATACTACCTTTTCACATTGCAGGTTTGTAGATGTGATACATTAAAACATAGCTGGTTAATGCTATGTTTAATATTCAATAAAACACATAATAGATTTAATTGCCAAACCTTGTTCATATGCCTAACATGAATGCTAGTAGGGTTGAATCATTTCCACAAAATTTGAAAAAGTTGTTTGTGGCAAGTTTGGATGGCATACAGTATATTGTTGTGAAGAGCAATTTATGATTTCTATAGCATAATTCTAAGTAGTAATGATTATTGTTAGTAATGGTTAACCCTAATACTAAACCTAAAAAAAATTGGTTTTCTTCTTTGTTATTGTGGCGCAGGCTCAAGGGAGGATATTTGGAAAGCTGAAAGAGGAGAATTTCTTCAGTCCAAAGGAAGAGGTAAAGCTGGAGACCCACATCAAAGTGCCCTCATCTGCAGCTGGAAGAGTCATTGGCAAAGGAGGCAAAACGGTACATAGTAGATGAGACGCTGGGAGTGTGACTGTTCTCCTCTGTTTCTGATCTTACTCAGTGTTTGTCTCACCTCTGCAGGTAAATGAGTTGCAGAACCTCACCAATGCTGAGGTCATTGTACCACGGGACCAAACTCCAGACGAGAATGACGAAGTCTTTGTAAAAATTATTGGGCATTTCTTCGCCAGTCAGGTACACCTCACCAAAACAGTGACTTACAGAGAAGGGCTGTGCTTCACTGGCAAATTAGTTAATTGGAAAATGCTGAATTTAGAATTTTGTATAAATACATTAATCTTAGTGGTTATGATGGGTTCAGGTTGGAAATGGAAATAAATGTCATCAGTTTTAGGTTTTTAAAACATGCAAAGTCCAAACTATGCCAGATATATGTCACGGATGTCTGAAAAACGAGACGAACCGTGGAGAGGCAGGAGAGCAAAAATGACCCTATACGTAGCGGCGAGACGGGGAGTTAGCCCGGGCTCATTAGTGCAAAGAGTTCAGGAGTGCCGTATAGAAACCTTTGCCCTCATGTAGCGGACGTTGGGCGACCTGGTGCTAGGCGGGTCTCAGGACATCTGAATGTCAATGCTGAGCCAGGGTGGAGTGCAAGACCCGGAAATATATAGTCCCAAAGGGAGAGAGCAACACCGGAAAGACAGCAAAGAACCGGAAATGAAAGACAGGACAGAGAAGGAGCGTCCTCTGGCTGCAGAGGGCGTGACAATATACACATTTCTGCAGGTTTTCATGTGCCTTTTTGAAAAAAAAAGCCAAGATTTCACAAGACCGTATATACTCCATATACTGTAACTAAATGGTGTTCTCTATTAATTCACATCATTAAAACAACAGTTTTGCATATCAATTTTAGGCATCATTTAAACACTGTGTGAAAAAAGAAACACTCAGAAATAGTTATTTTTAATACATGTTATATCCACGTATCCAGAATGTCTTCTTTATCTTAGACATGAGCTTCTTTTACAAATAGAAATGATTTTGGTGGTCAGAGTGAGTTTTAAATGCAGAACACAGATACAGTACACCTTTACCGTTATGCACATCATATTTCTTAAGTAAACTTGGCACAGAACCAAAGTTGATTGTTTATTCATCTTAAAGGTCAAATTTCTACTCAAGGGAAAAGAAATGTTGAAATATTAGTAACATTTTCCATGTGAGATTGGCGCCCATTTTATGTTTACCAAAAATTCTGTGATTAATAGTTTTGAATTGTATGCAGATGCATCTGTCTGGAGAACTACATGTTGCTGAGAGATGTCAGTAGAACATCTTGCATCACTTCAGCTAACATCAAAATTCACTCACCGTAAATGTTAAATGAATATGGCCTGAGATATCGTTCTAGAAGTTACACACTGGCACTTGGTGATGTACGCCAGAGCAGAAGAAATAAGAGATGTTCTACTTGAATTGCAGTTTTTTAAATGTATGCATCTGCATATTTACAAGTTTGCTAAAACATGCAACTTGAGATAATATTTTACAGAAGCTCTCAGGATCTCAGAAGCTAAGCAAGTTGTGGTTACTACTTCTTCGATGGGTGACCTTTAAGAAATATTAGGTTGCTGTTGAAATTGATGTTAGTGGACCTGTAGGAGGCACTCTTTCCTCTGGACCAGAATTTCCTCTAATACCCATTGGTTTGGACCAGCGTCCAGGAACATTGTTCTATAGGAGGTGCTCTTCAGATTTGCACAATTTCTCCTACCAACATTTTACCCCTTAAGTCAATTGGCAAAGTAATTTCTCACATCTCCTCCTGATCTGCAGTGTAATGGAGCTGCTGGCACAACAGTACTTATTCCGGGTGCTACAAAGGTGCATTAAGTTGGTCCCCTCACATATTTAAAGTGCTTTAAAAACTTTGAGATGAAAAGTTCTTAATGCAAATAATTATTCATTTATACTTTCCCAATTTGAGTAACATTTTGACCTTTAAGCGTGAGTGTTGTGGTTGTGCTGTGGAAAAATTGCATGCGCATCAGTGATCTTATTTTTGGTGCCTTTGTTTTGTCTTCAGACTGCACAGCGAAAGATCAGGGAGATTATACAGCAGGTCAAACAGCAGGAACAAAAACACCAGCAGGGAGCTCCCACGCCGCACCACTCCAAGTGAACACCAGGGCGGCACCTGCGAGCAACAGCCGATGAATGTAGCCCTTCCAATGGAGGAGAGACAGACAGATGAGACAGACCAGCAAAATGGGGAACAAAACCAAAGAACATTACTAGGGAAATGTGTGAGCCAAAGGCTGGGGCTTTGCGTGCACTGCCAATGCGGAGGGGAGAAGATTATGTTAAATACATAAAAAACAATAAAAAACTAAAAATAAGGAAGAATATAAACTGCAGAGAGGGCATCTGCAGTCTTTCCAGTTTAAACATAAAGAATTCTGTCATTCTTTATAACGCTATCCCTTTAGTTGGACTAACATAGGCCTAACTTAAACAGAAAAAGATATTAACAAATTTGTACATTATGTTGTAGTGGTGGATGGGGTCTGGGAGGGGAAGGTTAGGGCTGAGCAAACAGATTTTTACAATGGGTGCTGACATTCAGATTGCATATTTCCAAGTGTCGTTAGCCCTAGCAGTATTAATATATATATATATTAGAAATGATAATATATATTAAACAAAAGATAACAAAGGTTATTTTTCCATAGATGAAAATAGGCTTTCTAGACATGAATTAAGATGAGTGGTTCATATTGGGCAGTAAAGATATTTCAGCAACAGTTTGAACATATCTAATATTTGTTTGCATTTGGAGTCAACTTTCAGAAAAAAAAACTCTAGGAAACCTAGTGGATTGTTATGGATATTTGTTACTTAGCCTGTGTGTGTGCCAACACAAGGGATAACGTCCCTTTGAAAATGTTTTAAAGTTTTCATCTCTGTGTAGCTCACAGTTTTTACATACTCTTTGCTTAACGGTTCTCAATGGGCTTTTTGCATTACTGTCAATTTTTTTTTCATCTGAGCAGTAGCGAGCAGCATTCTGATGTTTTTGAGATGGCTTCTGTTTCCCCGCATGGATCATGATAACATGAAAATCACACAAACAACAATTAATGACGACATAAAAATAGATGGTACCTGTCCTAATTTAAAAACACTGTCCGGGAAAAAAAAAGTTTGGAAGCAGTTTCCGAATAGGCTATTTGAAGAGGGAGAAAAAGATGTACACAAAAATTGCATCCAAATTGACGTCTTAAAGTCACGCCCCTCAATTGTTAATGCAGCAATCTAGGGCCATAGTTAATAGAATGTGCTACACGTTCTCTGCCTTACATTGAACTTTCAAGTAAAACAGCACTATGGAGAAAAAAAAATGTGACACAGGGCCACGATGGTTTGTAGTTTTGTACTTTAATGGTTGACTTTATGGAGGAGGGGGAGAGAGAAGGCACTGCATGAGCTGTGGTACGTACTAGAAGGTGAAATAGTTTTTCGAGCCCTTCTCTTTAATGTAATCCACACTAAACCACATGCTAGCAGTTGGCTTTAACCTCTCGGTCAGGGAGCGTTCTGTCATGGCCTGACAACTGTGAATGTACAATATGCAGCCTTTTTTTCCCCATCCGTTTCCAGCATATGGTTGGTCAACAGGATTGTTTTCTTGTTTTTTTTTCATCCCAAGCAATTGTTTGTTGGATGTGCAGGTACGGATGGCCCTGTTCTTGTGCTTTACATAATCACCATGGAAACATGCTGCCTTAAATGTTACTGATTGGAGAAACATTCTCTCTCGTCATGAGCTATCGGTTTAGCTATATCTTCCAGACTTTTTAAGGTTTAGCACGAATACACACAAGTTTGTGTGTGTAAATATATATAGAGAGAAATATTTATAAATATATTTTTTTTCCTATTTTGTGATGAGAAGAAAAAAACAAAAAACATTTCATCTTTTTTTTAAGTATATTTTGTTTGGTAGGACACTGCCATATGAAATTGAAGGGAAGTGTTTTATTTTTGAAAACATGACTATTAATAATATAAATGATGAATAACGATAATGAGAACAATACAAAAACATAAATAAAAATGAAATAAAGAGATAATTTGCCCAGGACATGGAACAGTGCGCATTTCAATATTGTGATCTACCTCAGGTGTTAGGGTACCTCAGTCTGTTCTTTAATTTCCCTTTTTCGAGATTTTGTATGCCTTGTAAATCTGATAGTTTTGAGCATTTTTTTATTTTTTTAATAAAAAAAATGAACAAGAAAAAAAAGGAATTAGTTGAAACATTTAAGTCCATGCTGGTTGTCAAGGGAGGATGGGTCATTTGAACTGTATTGCAATTATTCTACCCCCCCCTCCAGCTGGACAACTCTCTATCTTTTTTTTTAAAACCATGGATATCAAAATTATGAAAACGAAATTGAAGGGATACATGCCCATAGTGTTTCTGAGTAAAGGTGATAATGTATACTGATTTCATGAGCAAAGAAACATCAACAACAGCAAAATACTATTGTACCAACAGACTGCAATACCAGTTTTCTTCACTGCAAATAGTGTTATGTGAAAAAAGAAATATACTACAAAATTTGTGACCCAGCCTGTTTTTACCAGTTAGCACAGATAAACCTATGCTCGGAGAATGGTGTAAAGCTTCTAAAACATGCATATAAACACAGAAAGTACATTAATGTGTATATAACACTAGCATTTACTATAGTGTGTTATGATAGACTAGTGGTCTGGCTGTTACTGTGTATCGGAGGAATACATGTATATCAGTAAACATAGATGTACAATAGAAGACTGATGCAAACTGATCTGTTTTCCCATTAACCCTGCATTCCCCTTTAGTTCATATATAGAGACATAAACACGTTGAGACTTAATGGCAGTGACATTTTAGACAGCTGTGTCAGGTAACTTGCTTAAAAATACTTAACATACTGAAGGAGCCTTTTAAAGGCAGTTTTCTGCTGTACTTTGCATGCTCTGTGAAGCTTCCTTTCTGTGTGGAACTTTCCAAAAAAATGGTTCTTCATCACCTACACACATTTTAATCATATGAATTTGTTAGCAAGTTTCTTTTTTGTAACACATTTGAAATTGCCCATTGTCCATAGGTTTGGCTTACAGATACAACTATTATAGCCACATTGTGCATTGAGGTTGTCTATACTGTATCTTTGCAGACTGAAAGTTTGTGCACATTCTTTGATTGGATGATTGGTGCACCCAGAAAGCAAATGAAAACTCCCCCAGTCACACTTGAACTGTGACAATTATATGTCAACATTTTAACAGAATTCCAGTCACACACGGCTAATGGCATACCCCAGATTTGCACTGGAAACCTCTGCACAATAAGGCCAAACAAGGACACTAGGCAGAGGTGCTTTAGCATTATGTTGAAATCCGGTCCCAAGTTTTAAACTGAATTTACAAATACATGCATTTATCAAGGAGAATTCAACTTATGAATTAAAAGGCAATATGTCTGTTCATTTAAGCTCTTCACATCCTTCAATGAGGAGCAGACATTTTGTTTTTACTGTATGTATACTTTTTTAAACAGAGGTGAAGGGTAAACAATTGACTTACTATTTCAATCATTGTAATCTGAAGAATTTTATCAGGCTTTTGAAAATTGCATGATGTTTCTTGTGCTTTAACACATTTTGCTATGCATGTTCTCTTCTTGCCCTCTATTGTCTTTTCTCAAAGCAAAACAGAAGAAAGCAATCTCAGAGCACTCAATGATGAAGTACAAGCACAAACTCCAAATGCAAGACACCAGCATTTCTCTCCTTGATTTGTAGCTAGACAGACAAGGTGAAAAAATGAAAGTGAAGGGAATTCCCAGACACACTGAAAACATCCAAAACTAGCTACTACAATAGCCCAAGTTGAAAATTAAAGCACCTGTGCACAGAAGCAGACACTAGTAACCCATTCTCAAGAGACTTAATTGAGATTATAAAGTTTATAGTGTAAATCTGGAGAAAATAGACTACAAAGAGTCTCCTCCAGAACTACAGGGATATCCTCAGAGCCACAGACATCAGGAAATGAATTAAAAAAGAAAGGTTGTAATAGGATTACTTTACCCAGAGTCCATTAAATTGGCTCATTTGTAACCGATTTTCATAAAAACCATGAAACAGCCAAGTGAAGTAAACTATGCATAATTTACAGAGGAATGCAATTACAGAATCTTGCTGTTCATATAATTTGTCATTTGTTTCCTGGCAAGTGTAACATTGCAGAACCGTGTTGAGCACAGATATTCTACAAAGACTTTATAACTTGCCTTGATTAAATGTTTGAAAAATAAGCTACTAATAATGAGGTGAGGAAATAGGCAGAAGAGCTATCAGTTGTTCATAACATTTCTTAGGTACTTAACTTTTAGAAGGAGTTACTGTTGTTTGCCTTTCAGAAAATTATATCTAAGATGAAGATGTTTTACATTGAAGGCAGTGAAGCACTGTTTTATGTGCAAGAAGTCTGGTCTGGGCAGAATATCTTGTATTGACTAGAATGCTTTGGAATGGAAAACTCCTGAGACATTGCTTTGGAAAATGCTCCAATGTATAATGAGATTGTGAATGCTAGCATTATACGCAAGGGATTGGAATTTATTTTAGTTGTTTTTAGTTTTTAAAGGGTTTTCTTGTTTGATTTGAAGAGATTTGTCTCAACTTTTTCTCATCCAGAACTTAGAGATATTTAATCTTAATGTTAAGACACAACATTTCTGGTGAACAATCAAAACATTTTGACATCTGTCTTCCTAAGTACAGTACTATGATGTAGTGCAATATAGGGGTAGAAGAAAACCTTTTTAACCTGTTTGTTTTTACGTGCAGAAATGCCTTCTACCTTTCAGTTTCCAAATTACAGCTGATTTGGCTGACAGGAGGTTTAAATGCAGCTGAAAACCACGCGATGAAAACCCTTGGCAGGATTCTCCTATTAAAATTACATTTGAAGTTTAACACTACATTTTGATTGCTACTAAAGCAAATCTGACATGTGCATTACTCATATCCTCGTAGTTTGACAAACTGGATTTGTAGATCTTAGGAGTTTTAAATTGCTACCCAAGGAGGGAATGCTCATCAGTAAATTGATTGGAATTTACAATATTTTTTCTGTTGTAGTGCAGAACTCAAATTTTTTACATTTTCTCAAAACTATGTTCTCATTGAACTGCTGGTCAGGCAATCTGCCATCCAAATCTGTGATTCTTTTATTGAGAAAGAGATTTGAGTTCTATGGAGTAAAAGCATTGAGCACTTTTGGCTTTTAAAGGCATGCAGGGATTAACAAAGCATAAATTGCATTTTGAGAGACATTTCTGATCTAGGTAGAGAAGGAAGCAGCACTAGAAAAAAAGCAGCCTTTGTTTGCCCCACATTACTACCTGAATATAGAATTTCTTGTGAATCACTTTTATCTGTTACAGAGGCTGTCACAGATGTAGCAGAAAACTGACTTAAAAAGCAAGTTGATTATGTAGAGGTTCTTAGCAGGATATGCAAGAATAGTATGTGACTACTTAGGACTTCATTCCTTAATAGATTTCTTCCTTTACTTTTTTAAATAAATAAGACATTGCATGAGACAAAGGTCATAGGGTGTAAAAACATTTCACATACATTTGTAATTAGCTTAGGTGGTTTCATTCCTAAACAGAACTTCACCAATGGAGGTCTCTTTATTCTATTACGAAACCTCAGAAATAAAAATCTCTTTCCATCAGTTACCATTTGACACCTGTGATAAACATACAAAGGCTTTTTAATGCTGGTTTAGGAGGTGATTCATTCCTTATGGTAACAGCCAATAACTTTGAAATTGTGGGTGAACTGTACTGCAGACCAACCTGGATATGAGCAATAAAGAAAGTCATCAGATGTTGAAATGATTGTCAGTTGTGCCACTCAGTGTTGGTTTGGTGTTACTTATTTTTTTATGTTTCTGATCCCCCTTGCTTCTCTTTGCAAGCCTACCAAGATGGTCCATTTAAAAAAAAAAATATATAGCCATTTTTTGGTACAATAAAAGAAGCAATCACCATCCGTGGCTGAGTTGAGGCCCTCACCAGATTTAGATCCTGCCAGCAGTGCATTACCCCTTCAGTGCTGCCAAGTACTCTGCTGTACCAAAACAAACACTTAAAAAGTTCTTAAAATGTATTTGTATTCATATACAGTATATACACACTCATCGATTTACTTTTATTATTTTAACAGCACTTTTACATTCAGTTTATATTCAGTTAAAAAGTACTTGATTGATGGCCACTACTAGACAGTCCAGTATCCTGTGATGTCCTGAGAAAATAAAAAAATTGCACCTGACACAGAAAGCATCCACTACAAGACCCAAAAATAATAGTAAAAGAATTTACCCAAAGTAGCATTTCCTTTCAGACAGTTTTCCACAGAAAAGAATGAATGACAAAAGGACATTATAGAATTACAAAATGCATTCCATTGCTTGTAACTTCTAAATGGTAATTAACATAAGAACAATTACCCTGAACTTTGAAACTGCGTTTGGCATGGAGCCCCAAAGATGTGATTTCATAGTCATACTGTAGATGCTTAAAAGCTACAGTATATATCAGTGGTATAACACAGGTCCTGTAGGCATGGCTGACAGATTTGGGATCCTGTCCTTTTGGGTTTGTTTTTTTTTGTCCTGTTGCAGATAAAAGTTACCCTGGGTAAGTACCGATATTTTGGAAAAGGTTTGGACAATTGTAATGATAATTCAAAAATTTCACTTGAGGTTTTCAAGTTAATGTTAAATTTTTAGCTGTATTTGATCAATAGTAAGCTACAGTGTGTACATTAGGTTGTGTTCCACATTAACTCTACCAGGGCATATAAAATACACCCTGTTGCATCATCACAAACCATTAGAAGGATTAGGTTAATAGGTTAGAAGAGGTTAATCATTGGAAATGTATCTGGTAATCGTTTAGCACAGACAACTGTCAGCTATCATTGACACTGTTATGGTCAGCATATTTGCTGAAAGTACTTGATAGTAGATTTGGTGGCACAGGAACTTTGCAAAATGGCTAAGTACCCAAAAGGCAAATGTGAATACAGCAGTGTACAAATCTGAAGGTGCATAGTGCAATACAGACACAAGCCTCATTGTGTACCACCAAGAAATCAGGAGCTGAGCTGCTTTCAAGCATCATGTTCATACATTCTGGACTGAACAAGAATGGCTGAACTTCAGTAAGATTTAGTTCTCCCTGTGAACTGCTTGTCAGATAAGATTCCAGCATAGTTATCTGATGCAGCGCAAATATTGATGCACATAAAGTTTATAGTTGGGTATTCTTTCCAAGTATTTGGAATCTGTACAAATGAGGATTGCAGGAGTTAAAGTGTAAACATTTTAAATTTTAGGATATTAACAAAATTAACACATACAGTGTGTACTGCCTCAATAGATGCAAAACTCAAAAGTCCAAAAATAGAACAATCAAATCCCCTTTTTATGATTAATAAAACAGTTATAAGCTTAATAGATTTAGATGACATTTCTAAATGTAGCACCTTATACTTTAAAACAAGACTTCAGCAATGATTTATTTTTAAACGTTAAATTGTTTCGAAACAACACTTGTCTTTGAGCTCCCCCTCCTTGCATTTTACAATAGATTCAACTGTTGGACTATATTTTGGAGAGCTGGATGAATTTTTGGGGAAACATAAAATCTGGCAACCCAATCTTGATGTCACTTTATCCATAACCCTAAATATACATTTTTTTTCAAATGCCCAGACTCAAGCTCAAGCTTGTTTCCTCCCATCACAGCCCCCCTCTGTGTGTATGTGCATCCGTGTACGTGTTTCCTGTATGTGCGTGCACATGGGGGGAACAAGACCCCGCCATGACCTAGGAGGTCCCTTCAGATGATTTTCTGGATCAGTGCAATGTTTTGCCCCGTGTCCCACTCGTCACAGCAAGGTAGTGCGTGGCAGACTGCTGGGAGCTGAAAGAAAGGACGTTTCACTCTCCAGGGACCCACTTGTAGATGTTCATTTCTAGGGGGTATCCAAACCACTTTTGCAAACACAACCTCATGAAGATGGTCTTTCTCATACTCTCTGCTTAAGTGTAAACCAGGTTTTCCTAACTGACCTTAAAATTTATCCAGTGTTAACATATAGCGCAATGTTTAACAATGTGTGAGTCATGGCATTCAGTGTGTGTCGTGCATTTCTTCTTATGGTGCCCCGATGACAATATACTGTAGTATTTTTATGTGTACAAATAGTAGTATTGTTTAGCCTAAGGATGTGCTGAGAAAAGACAGGATTTTAAGATGAAAAAAATCAAAACGTAAATCAAGCATTACCAGATAAATTGCTGCTGCTTGCATTGTGGAGCAAATTAATCAAATTGATTAGATGTTCTATGGTCTTGTTACCAATCAAAATGACTGAACAGCTGGTGAGTCAGTGCAAATTAGGACAATACATTGACAGAAGGTAAATAGCAATTTATGGTTTCACTGCACAAAATTATTAAAAGATTACAAGAAAAGTAATTGGAGATGCCTTTCATTCATATGGCAGATAACAAAATGTATAATTTGATTTATGCATGGTTACTAAGCAACAGCAATTTTTAATTTAGCTGTGATGTAACTTAGTATGGTTTAAGAGCAACATTACAATCCTATGCTGTCTCAAAAGTGTCCATGGTGATTGTGGAGCCAGATTTACTACCAATGGAAAAAGAAAATGGGAACACCTGAGGTGAAGTAAAAGAAATGACTCAAGTAAGGATTTCAGTGTTACACAGGAACCAAGCCCAAAATTCTTCATCTAAATCATGTTTAAATGATTGCATTACAAGCCCATCTCCATAGATGTTAGTCATAAATTGGTATTGACCACAGCCATTTGTTTGAATTTTGATAGTACCACCTTTACCTAACACAGAAAATCACTAGAGTACCTGATGTAAGTATTAAAAAATCCGGAAATGTATTGAATAAGGTCATTTATGTGGCTACATTAAGACCAACAACAAATCAAGGATCCTAAGTGGAAATTCAAAACGTGCATTTAGGACATAGAGTAGTAAAGCACTTTGTTACACAAGATGGTTCCCTAGACTTGACAGAATTTTGAATGAGATTATCAGCTCAACAAGTTAATAGCAACCAAATGAGCAAGATGGGCTAAATGGCCTCTCGTTTAAATCCTATCTTAATGTTATTCTTATGATTTCTGTTGTCCTGGATTACCCTACATTCACCGCATCACTTGAAACTAGTTCCTGCTATGGGTTTCTGTACCGTAAAACCCATATAAATACATTGTGATTCTATATTGTAACAGTAAATGTGAAAAAGTCCAAGGCGGGTGAAATACTTTTCATAGCCATTGAATGTCTTTGGATTATGGAAGGAAACCAGAGCGGGAATCATTGCATATCTCTTAGAATAAACTACTTAACCAGAGTACTTCAGGGTAAAATTGCATTGAATAAAATGTCTGATGAACTATTTTAATTTTTACTGAAATAATCCTTAAAATCAGTACAGATGACTACTCTACATAGTTTCAGAAGCAATCCAATTTTGCAGGGATCACTTGAACTCCATCAAAAATTATGTATTACTTCCTCAGCTGAACAGTTCAGAAATATACAATAAGACTCTTCAATAGAAGAATGGATGTACTTTATTTATCCCATATTTCACATTTATTAGTCCCTACTTTCTTTTTGTAGTGTGGCTTAACTTTACTAGAATTTTAAGGGATGAATTGTTGCTGTGGAAATATGTTGATTTAAGATGTATGACTGCCTTCACAATGCATTAATGCTCAGGATGTTCATAGACTGTATATGTCCTTACCTTTGCTGTGGATACAGTAATACAGTAATGTGATTTTGGGTCATATTCTAAAAATAGAAGAATTCATTCTTAGGCAGAAGCCCATCCATCTGATGAGTAACACCACTTTATCACAGAGCACACACAAACAATTAACAGACACCAATTCACCTAGTTAGCATGTCATCAATCAATTATTTATTTTCTTACAAAATAATAAAATCAATTGTGTACTTGTAAACAAACTCAGTAAGACATGGCTTGTTTTTGCATCCTGACAAGCCTACAAGATCTACAGTATTCTCTTGGGTAAACATTGGGATAAAGCTGAAGAAAACCACAAAAACCAATCCATAAACAGGAAAAATTCTATTTTAAAAATAAACCCAGAAAGACCTGACTTAAGACTTCTAAGAAATCCTCTTCACAAAATAAATAGGAAATTATCACATTAAAATAATACAAAAAAAACTCACAGCCTCCAAAAATTGCTGGATCCAACAATGCAAAAGAAATAATTTACAACAAAATAAGTAAAGCTGAAACAAAGGGTAAAAATTAACCTTTGGATCAAAGATGACACTGAGCTGACACTATACTTTAGCCAGAAGCAAAAGTGCTGTACTGCATGTGCAATGCTTCTGGATCCAAACTTACCATTTTAATACAGCCTCTGAGTTTTCCATTAGGTTAAGAACAATCGTAATAAATATATAGAGAATCTCATGCGCAGTGGATGAGTCTGTTTTTCAAAGTTTTGTAAATCATGCAAGGAATCTGCTACTGCATTGGCACTGGGGCTTAAGGTTCTGCCTTCGACCAAATGCAGCTCAATGATAACTTAAAGACAAATTTTAAACATTTTAAACATTTGCTGATTGACAGAATATGTATTCTTTCTACTGCTGATTTCCCACTGGGAAACTGTTCAGAGTCATCACTTCAAGCAAGATCAATACTTTGGCCAAGACTTTGCTCCTCTGCTGTTGTTGAAAAGAATGGGGTGATTTGGCCATAGTTTTGAGCCCCCATAGAATATTCTGCTGGATACATCAGGCCAAGCTACTAGGTACTAAAATGTTTTGGAGTTTTTATTTGTATTTGGTTTTATTTCCCATAACCTGTCTGTATCAAGGTGCCACAGTTTAATAAAACAGGATGCAATATTAATTAATTTATTGGCTATGATTGCTTCCAACAAAAATGATTTAGGACTGTTTTGGTGAATGCAGGCAGGGGAGATTTAGTGGGAAGACAAACGCTGCTCAGAAGCTCACTTTAGTATCCATATACACTGAAGTCATTTAACAGTAGAATACTGTACTCCACCATCCCATTTCCCAACTGGAAATATAAACTAAGCCTTTAAATTCCCCTTCAGTTTAGATGTTTATCATACAAAAAACACCTGAAATTCATGGTTTTATAAGAAGAAAACTTAAGTTATTGAAAAAATATATACTCACTTTGTAAAAACAGACCCATGTGTTGTAATCAAACATTTTCTCACAATCTTCCTGTTTCCTATCAATATCGAATACTTGATCTTAAAAAAACATTTTAACAAGCACCATTAAAGACAATTAGACCTGAAAAATGCAACAACTAAACTTTACTGTGCCTTATGTGGAGTGATTAAAATTACACTGTTATGCCTACCATACGTGTATTTATTTCATTTATGCTGTATATTTACACACTTTTTATATAGATTAACTCTATACGCACACAAGGAAAGAAGGGTTTGTGCACTGCTGCAATTTTGTAAAAAAACACAAGTACATAAAAATGCACACACTTGTTAATGGACGTACACAGGACTTTACAAATGTTCATCTCTCATTATCTCACAGTATTTTCCATTCTGCCATATTAAAATGCTGTCAATGCCATGGTAAAACACAAACACCATTTACACAAACTGGATTTCAGATCTGAATTACAGTTAATGGCGCTCATCATGAATTACCGTATATTAAAAATCAGATATATTGGCAGAAATCAGATACTGTGACATTTCACCTAACAGAAAATAAAATAATTTTTATTTTTATCATTTTTAGGACAGACCACTCCAAAATGCACTTTCAGCACAGACCTCTCACATTACAGTGAGACAGTGGGGGAGCATACTACCATATTACGATGAGCAGTACTTAATAGAGAAGAAATATCAAGAGATCCCATTTTAAAAAGTGGGTTTGTGTGACTGCATGTAATACATAAGATTAATGTTGCCATGCAAATGGAGCCATCAAATAAACCCACAAAACAAAAGGTTTTGATTTCTGCCCCAAAACATATTACAGAATCTACTCTAACTGAGCAGATTCAAAGAGGAAGCCACCACAATTTATTTCCTTAGAGGAAAGAAACTGTAAATTACCCTGTTCTGTGAGAATAATCTAAGTGAAAAAAATGGTAAAACAGATGCACATGTACAGCAAATGGTTTTCGCTAGAAAACTCTGATCTGACAGCAGAAGGGACCAACATTCAAAATGCTGAATGTCCACTGAGCTGGGGGTCCCTGCGCCAGAGTTGGCAGACCCTGTGGAACAAGACTCAATCGCAACATCCGATGGTCGCTGTGAAGAAAGTTATTTCTATATCATGACTTAAAGTATCTAAAATTCATTAACTGTATTTACATATTGGTTTATATACAGAATTCTTCAATCAGTGGCTGTTCTATAATAATTTGAAGAGCATTCCTATACTCTGAGGTAGCAGGTTAAAAAGAGTAAAGGATATGGCAGTATTTTTACTTAAGGCACTTTAGTGTTAGGCAGTTTATGATTCTTTCTCAGTCCCTAGTGTCACTCTTCACCACCCTACACTACCATTCTTCCTTTCTCTTTCCCACAGCGATATTCAAAAAAGCTGCTCTCACGTGAAGCATGGCTGTACTCACAGCAAGTACATGGGAGACCAAAAGACAAATAGCAAATGCAAGTTTGTATATAAAAACCTTTCCTTAAAAAAGTGCAAAACCCTATTTTTTCATATGAATCTATTAGTCACATACAGTATATATTTGCCAAAACAAACACAGGGGCAGGTAGACCAACAGTCAAAGTCTAAAAAAAACCCGAACACAGGCAGGGGAAACATGACAAATTTCAGAATTACACTGCCCTACCCTATTATTATGGATTTTCCCTGGTACTGCAACGATTGTATTCAAGTTTAAAAATGCAAACATATAATTAAGATCCCAGAAATTGAAAATACCTATACTTAATGGAGTTTGTGATCAAAGTTCTGGAGGAAGGCCAACTCTCGCCTTACTCGCTTCTGCTCACTAACGCTTAACGATTCTAGCACACCTGCCTGTGCATTGGCACTCCTCCCCATCAGCCTTGCAGCACTGCTGTACTGTAGCTCCGTGGCTCATTCCTCAGAGAAAGGGGACGGGGGAGGGTGGCTACCGGTATTTTAATTCCTTGAAGTCAGGGTGTTGTTCCGTTCAATTCAAATAATTAGAGCAGGTTTAAGACTTCACAGATATACATTTATATCAAAAGCTGAGGCTTTACTTAGCTATAGGAGCAGTGAGGCTTCAGCACAGAGGAAAAAACCTTGTTGTTGATTGGAGCTATGCATCCTTTTTTTCCAGTTTTCACAAGCTTTTTAATATCTTGATTAAAAAAAAAATAACAACTACCAATTGCATTTCTGGGCTGAATATGCCTGAATATTTGTCACATCAAATATTAACAGACAGAAAGTACAGGGTGGGCTAACAGGTTTGTTGCTGCTTGGAGATTAACACTGCAAATGCACAGCCCTACAGCTGACTGCTACTTCAACACCCCGAGTTAGATCACAACATCACAGTCAAAGTGTTCGCTTAATAGCAAAGTTCAAAAACAGCAGAATAGTTTTGAGGGGAAAGCAGAAAAGATGAAGCAGCTTCTCCTGTTTTGCATTTGAACCCTGTGACATTTCTGAATTCTGCTTCGATGAGGGCAGTTACAGGGATCAGAAACAAACATCACACAGCTTAAAAGCATGTGCTTTGAAAATAAATTAATACCTACAGTCCTACATTAAACAGTACCTGGGATTCTGCCAAGGATGCAAACTGCAATGGACTAAGGGCAGATCATCTTTACTGTACATCTCTGAAGCCTTGTGAAAGCCACTGTAATATTGTTTTCTGTCTTCATACATTGCTTAAATTAGAAAATGCCACAGCACTTTTTGAAGGAAATGAGGGATGAAGATGTATTTAAAGAAAAGCCAAATTAACATTTGTTTTCTTTTTGCCCTAGTTTTATGTTCCTGTTGAACAAAACCAGAGCAACCAACCACATTAAAAAAAAGCTAACTAAATAAAAACATTAATAAATTAGTCAAGGACAATAACCCTGTAAATTATTTGGCTATCTTTTACTTTAACTGAAACAGTTTCCAAATTCATAAAATAACTGCTCTCTAGATCAAATCTAAAACATAAAAAATAAAATAAAGGAACTGGGGTATTTGTATTCTTCTATCACTGGAGGTTGACTCCTTTCTTCAGGGAGATTTCCCAAGATTTATACATTCTTTTAAGTGTTCAGTGAAAAAACACAGCTCCTCCACTTCCTCTCTGTAACAAACTAAGATCTGTGGGGAAATGACAGTAAAGGCAAAGAGACAGGATGTAGCAATACTGTCCAGCCCACAAGTGAAATAAGAGACTAAAATGAACAGATAGTAATTAGGTAAATACATTGCACTGCTAGACTGATTTACATAATGTGATTACTTAAAAAAACTTAGGGCAGGCAAACTGCACTGCAAAAACACAAAGATTCATTACTGTTTTTTGCCTAGTCATTCTGCTTTTTTTGCACCAATTCACAACTTACACAACATTTCTCATGTCAACATACAGGGTGAAAAGCTCAAAGAATGAAGTTTTCCCACTTTGTTTCTCCTTTAAAATTAAAAGCTATAAAACGCCTTTGAAAATACATTCAATGTTCACATTACAGTATTTCCCAGGAAATAAATCTCATCAAAAACATTTCATTTGATAATAAATAAGGGTGCACACAGCAACTACCGTACTTATTTTTTCAAATAAAAATATGTACATACTGTATATAGTTTTCTTTCTGTGCTTTGGCATGAAATAAGTGCTCATAAGGATTGGCAGCAACAACAAACAGTTGAGCATGAATAACCACTAAAAGAGATACATAGCCTGTTGTAATGACTGAGTTCCGTAGCAGTGGCCTTAAAAGACCCAGAAGCCTCCTAAGGTCCTTGGGTTCATGATGTCACTGGCGTGGAAAAAGCCACCAAAGACATCTTTAAGTTCCTGTCATGCCAACAACATCTTCTGGCAGAGCTTGCGTTTCAACAGCTTACAGAACATGTGAGACAAACAAGCACTAAGCAAACATGTTCCAGACAATCCTGTTCAGTATGACACATAGAAAGTACACAGAAACCCAACTTTCTCTTGCAGGAAAAATGGTCATTAAGACTCTCTTCCAAGCAGGGGCCAAATAAAAAAGCCCTCAATGGTGTTATCAAATCTACAAAGTTGTTTAAACTTAAAAGATTCGATTCAGATGTAGGTTTGAGACATAGAAGTCAACATATCCTTCACATTCATAATTTTAAGACAAATGAAAAGAGCCAAGACCTTTTTTTAAAAAGAAAATAAGACGATAGGAGAAAAGGTTGAAATGGTCATCTGAGCTTCTTGTTCAGGTGGTGGCCGTTCTGGTCTAGGCCATCCAGTTTGAGGTGTGTGTGGCTGTAGTGTTTTATGAGGGCACCAGGGAGGAGGGCTACACAGGCAATAGCCAGGAGCTGCAGTAGGGTGCCCCAGGAGAAGATGTCATCCAGAGAGGAGATCTCTGATAAGATGGAGCCAGTCCGCACACAGATAAAGTTGTATGGGATTAAACCTGTGTGGAGAAGACGCACTGTTACAAAACAGGCCTTTCATTGAAAGTGAGAAGCTGCAGGGTGGCCACAGAACAGATTGTGATATTAAAATGTCTTTTGACAGGTCCTTACACTTTACAGTATGTTAGACTTCCTGTGCGAACATCTCCTTACCAATGAAGACGGAGAAGAAGAACATAGTGATGGGTATGTTGAGGATGGGGGAGGTGACATTCAGGAACCAGTTGGGGGTCATGGGGAAGAACCTCAGGAAAAGCAGGAAGAAAAACAAACTGCTTCTGTTTTCCTCAACCTGTCAGAAATAGGGATAAGAGGGGAAAACATTCCTTCAAGTTCATTCACAAATATATATGCATTTTGCATCTTGGCTATCCAATGTTTAGGCATGGTTTTGAAATTTATATGATTTTGTGGCACACAAAATACTCATGTTTCAAAGGTACCCATTTTCGTTTGTTGACTTTGGTAACTGGTAGTGGTGTTTTTGTTCTGACTGGAGGGTAGGATATACAGGATATATACTGTATACATATATGGATATATACTGTATATATATGTGGGTTGAATGAAATAGCTTTATTCTAAAATGAACAATCTCTAATTGCTTATTTTTAATGCAATAAAGAAATATTTTCTACCTTTTGACATTGTTATTATTAAAAGAAGGTGTTTTAAATTGAACATATGGGTAAAGTTTTGTCAAGGGAATAACATTTTAAATCGTTATGTGTGTTGAAGAGTTAAGAGTAAGCAACTAGACATAAACCATATAGATAAAAGCTTCCTTTTATGGTGTTTTATGTAAAGCAAAAACTTGAACTTTAAGGTGAACATGACTACATTGGTTTCTAAGCAGAACAGTTATTGTGGTTTTGTGATCTGAATGTTGGGGACATTTGTATTATTTAATATTATTTGAAAATATATAGTTAAATTCCTACTGAACCCTGCTAAGAACAATGAAGACTGGGATTATATTTAATTAATGTATCACTGCTGTCATCTAGTGGGCATTTCTATTAATTACAGGTTTAATGTTAACTGTAACAGATCAGGATAATACTTGGAACAATGATGAACCACTGCTTTTTTTAAGCAGTATACTTTTAAAGTTTAACATTTATAGATATGTGATAATGTTAAATACATATTCTTAATTGTGATTTTGGGCTTAATATAAAGTATTCTAAGTCACTGTGCTTTTTGGAAACATATCTGTTAAAGGCACCACCACTATGATGATTTTTAGATGTTTAGAGTTTTATACATTATTTTATTCAAATGCTTCCCAATATGACTGAATCAGTTTAATGATTGAATCTCATTTGTCCTTGAAACCAAAATAACAGCATAAAATAATTAAATATTTTATTAATATGTTTCAGTTAAAACGTATTGATTTATTTGGCTGAAGCTTTTAACCCAAGTCACTTACAGTATTATCCATTTGTACGGCTGGGTATTTTCCAGAAACAATGTGAGTGAGGGGCCCCACTCAGTAGAGATACAAGTGTAGTGTCTCACCTGGGAAGTGAATCCACACCTGTACGCTTGCACTTGTGAGTTCAAATAGGCACTGGTGAGGCGAAACGCAAATGGATGAAATTTGAACTGGTTATACGCCTCCACAAAACCCTTGGTCCAGCCTTCCTGTGTGGCAGGCCTATCTTTAGAAATAAATCTGTGGATTGGTGCCCAGGAACGAGTGGATTCACTGGGAAGTGACATACCTTCCGCTGCAGCAAGGCGACCTTGTCAGGGAAGAGTCTGACAATGTGCTGCTTCCCAAATGTTCTGGACAGGAGGTAACAGAAAGTGGATCCCATAGTAGTAAGGAGGCAGGCCAGAAGCAGGCCCTGCCAGGGTCCAAATAAAGCTCCTGCTAGCATGTTCTGCAAGAGAAGATCATAGTCAGTGTGATCTGCAATAACAGCAATAAGATCTGCATAAATAGCACGCTATCATCTAAATAAAAAGGTAAAAAGCTCAAAGTGACCTAAATCGCCTGATACTGAATGTGTTAGGACAAGTACCTGAGAACATAATTCAGAATGGAACGGAAGCAGGTAGAACAAACTGGGCTTAATAAGGGGAAAACACCTCACCATTGTTTTATTTTTAATCAGTTCCTTAACTCCCCCTTCAAACTGACCTATAACACTCTTGAACATGTCCCTGATTGTCCCTGCACTTGCTTGTAATGTTTCTTAGAAAATGAAGTTATTAGTATTAATACTGCAAAGGAATTAGGACAGAGGCTTTAAAGATTAAAACCAGATTGGAACAATTCTGGTGTCACAGCCTTCATTCTCCCCAAGGAAACAAGAGCTGTATAATTAGGAACCTTAAGCAGTTCAGCAATCCTGCTCAAGTGTTGTGTTTTCTATTTTAAGAGATTCTACAAGTTCCTTTCCCTCCTTAATCTGGAACACCTTATTCAGCTTCTACCTAATTGTTGCAACCCATCACAGAGTGTTAGACACCAAAGACTCTTAAGACTCTCTGTTCAGCAGGCTGACTTCATTAACAGATGGCCCTGAGCTGGATAACTGGGCACAGTGATTCCTGTGAATGGCTATACTGTACATCTAATACAGCATTTCTAATCAAATCTAATCACTTATATTATAACTATCTCTACTATATATTTACTATTAATACAAAAACAGATCTTCAATTATGTCTAATAATAACACTACCAAAGTTTTCATGAAAGGTGTTAGATATGATAAAGATTATATCATCATCAGACGAGTCACTTTTACAAAAAAAGTGGATCTTCATTGGAAAGATAAAACACAAAGTAGCTGAGGTCAATGCCTTAGTTAAAGCAAATACAACTTTAAGATTTAAAGTTAATAACAAGGCAGTATATTTTTTTCAGCAACCTGTCCCTGGACAAAAGCTCACATGTCACACAACAATTTACAGCTGTATGTTACAGATACAACTGATGGCTTCTGAAAAGAATTGAAACACAGGACAATGGCGCTTTTCTTCAGGTGTATTTGAGTGTCTCAGGTGCTGGAGCAAGACTAAGTACTGCTGTAACACTGACCAGGAATGAGGACCCAGGGATGGCGAAGGACTGCTTGTAGAGGTAGGCGCTGCAAAAGAGCAGCAAGACATAACCTGTGTGCTCTGTCTTATAGAACTGCAGCAACTCCGCCAGCTCGCGCAACTCTTCCAGGTCTGAGGGAAACTTCAGCGTCCTGGAAAAAGACCACATTTTGTTCTGCTGAAGCACAAGAGGAATATAGCGGTGTTGCTAAAGCTGTATGCCACCAGTGTGCATCCTTGTTAATGTATACAGATTTAAGGAATAGTTTGAACGTGCTGCAATGGGCACCCATAGTATAAAAGTTTATCTGTAAACACTGCGCCATGAAAAAGGTGATATGATTTATTAATCAAAAATTACACATTTACAGAATTATTTTAATTTTTGAGTGAACTATGTAGGTCTGATGCTAAGGTCCTGTTGGTTAATCATAATACGGGCATCCTAAATCTTCTAAAGTAGCCACTGTGTAAAAAAAAATGCTTCAAAAGTAAAAAAAACCCTGTCTGTGAAATATGATAGCCGATGGTCAAAAATAGAAGTGAGGAATGTTACCATGGGCTTCTCAAACACAGACAGTATCAAAAACATCTTCTGTTATATTCTGATGAAACTGACTGAAACCTTAGCAGTAGGTTCTATATTAAGGTATGTTTATACCAGACACAACTGAGCCACGTTCATGTTTCCCATTGGCTGCTTCTGAAGACCCTCAAGACATCTGAACTCTACTTGAGTGGTGTGATTAAGCATGGTTGGTTTTAATTACAGTTACAGGGTACCTATAAATAAACTACCAAGGATATTGTTTCCCGTTTCTAGCAGTAGCCACATGTTGGGCCATGAACTTAAAGGGTATAGAACTACAGCACAAAGCTATGAAAATGGTGATACTTTCATGAAAATGCACTGCACATTGTCCATGTTTGTGAGGTGCTTCCTTGCCACGTACTCTAAAATGACTAAGAATATACAGTATAATAGCTAATTTTGAGCCAATTTTTCAGAGCAAATATATTCGTGTTACATACTACGCTAAGTCTTACTCTTTAAAAATTTTATTAAAACCTTTCTTTTTTAACCAGGCACTAGAAAACTGGCTATGAAGAATTTTCTGTTGTCTTTTTTCTATGCTTTCAGTGATTGTCTGATCACTGTATATCAAGTAAAGGGATGGACATATTCTACTCCAGAAAAATGACATTGCTGAAGTGAAACCAGAGAGTACAGTATAATGGCACCGAATTACCTTTCACTGAAAAGTTAGTATCAATAAGAAATGAATGAACCAGGAGCCACTAAACAAACTATGGAGAATTTATCTATTATTTTACGTCAGTGATTCCCAAACCTGGTTCTGGGAATGATGGAATCTACTGTTTTTTTCAGCTGAGCTCTAAATTTTAAGTGCTAATGATGCCTTAAATTCATCTGCATGGTTGTTGAAACTCAGTTTGTTTGTTTCTGCACAGTCTGAGTTTCAAGAAAACCCTACTTTAAGCGTTCTGTTACCAACGTCAGCCTATAGAACCTTAAACAGTCTTTCCTCAACATGCTTTACCTTTTTTTCTGATTAAATAAATATTAACTGGTGATCAATTTATGAACAGGTGTGGGAAGTGCAATGATCAAACATTCCCACAATAAATAAGTTCCTTCTGGGGTCCATTATTTTGTATTTCACACATCTTAACAAGGGGAGTGCTTAAATTCACAAATTACAAATTACAAATCCCATTCTACGCTGAATTTACCAAAAGCAAACTGAAAGAATTAAGGAAATGATTAGGATGCGATTAAGAACTCAGCTGGAATTAGTGCAGAAGACATAGCAGTCTTACAGGATGAGGGATGGAAACCAGACAGGTCTCTAGACAAGAGTACGACACAGGAGGGAAAGCTCAAGTCTCAGATTTACATACAGATCACTTCCTGATTTGAAAGATCAGCTTTCTCACATCGTAACATCAGTGGCCACCTTTTAAAAGTGGCAGCACACATTACCTCTTGTTATACTGTGACAAAGTTCATCTTTGATGGGGCTCCCAAGTGGATTATTTATTATAGACCTAATCATGCAGTTTCCAGCCATACATTATGTACATTAAGAGAACTGCAGTTATTAATTTAGTTGAAATTCATATAGGGATGTTTGTTAACTTAAATTCTAAAATATGAATAACTGTAAAAGGCAGTATTGTAAGTGTAATGTAATGTAATCACAGTTGTAATGAAAACCACATTCATGATGGTAATAGAAATATCCATTATTTATAAAATTTAAAATTATTGCATAATCATCACTTACTGAATAGTCCTCGAGACTTGCATGATCTATACTAAGGACGTGTGGCCCCTTTCCTTGTGTATGTATAATTACAACTGAATTTCAGCTCACACATCTGGATGTCGTGAACCACTTTCTTAATTTGTACAAGTTGTCCAGGTCTCTACTTTTATTATTTTTAAAGTTACCCATTGCTCCATCACCAATACAGTAGATAGCATATCAACAGTATGTTTCCACAATGTCAGTCAAAGGTCACCTTTAGCCTACGATTCAGTATGACCCAATAACACTGCAGTAACAAAAATGCACAAAGGGATTTATGAATAAGGAGGCTTTACCTAATATGCTTATAGCACCTTTCAAAGAAAACGTTACTGTTATTACTCATTCAGTTAGTTTTAGTGTGTCTGGAATAATTTTTACACAACACACTGTTTTATAACAAAGAATCCTTCTCTGGTATTGCAAGTACAACATTGTGTTTCATGGGAATGCAGCAAGCCTACTTCCAATCAGGTCCTTTCTGAAGTGACCTAGTTTTATTTGAGCCCAAAATGATTACATAATGACATTCTCTTTTCACAAGGTCACAGTGGCATGTTGCATGTGTCTGTATTCCTTTTTAGCTGGAAACATAGTTCCCTCTGGGAGAGTAAACACAGGTTCTAAATTTCACTCTGTAATTTAAAAGTGAAAGAAATAATACTCAAAAATAAATAAAATAAATATGAAGTTTAAAACTTGTTCATCCAGATTTGTTAAAAATACAGTTCTAGGTGAATGCATGGGGATGTGTGCCTGAAGAACAGGAAATCCAGACAGAATGGAACCCTTGATTATATTGATGAATTACCAACAACAAAATTCCTTTTCTTTTATTCACCAGATCAGCACTGCTCAGGCACATTCTTGTGACTGCCCATGCTACTTCATTTAAAAAATAAATACTGGACTACACCACAGATTGTCTTATGACAGTAAAGTCCAGCTTTTCAATGGTGGAGACCCTCTAGTAAACAAAATCTGAAACAAAATCTCACACGAGCATTTTGGGAACACATGCAGTTGTCTGCTCACTGTTTGCTCCTTCCTCCCTACATTATGGAATGTTTCCTTCTATGGAATTTTTTATTTACAATGGATTGATTAGACTGGTAAATTGGCACTGAGATATAGCAGTTGACCATGCTCCCTCACAGCTCTTGAATATATGCCAGGCAGGGGTGCATTCTGTATGGAGTTTGCATGCTCTCCCTTTATTTTCTCCTGGAATGGACTGGTATCCCATCCAGGTGTAGTTCTGCTTTGCACCCTTTGCTTTTGGGATTACAGTAGATCCGGGTTGTCCCCAACCCTTTCCAAAAATAAGTGGCTTTCTTATAATGGATGGATGAAGGATGATTTGATAGGCTGACATAAGCAGTCCCCCTTTATATACCACCACTGTTTACTGCGCAATCTTGGCTGGTTTATTTATATGGTTAAAATTCCAAACAAACTAACAAGAACACAGCCCTCAACAAAACGAAATCCGAGACTGATCTGTTATGAATCTTACCCAACCCTTGAGGAAGATATGCTAGCTCAAAACAGGTGTTGAATACTATGTGACCGTATCACTATCACTTCTGAGATGGTGTGGCTCAAACGGGTTTTAGAGCACGTGGAATTATGGTGCTCAGCACATTTGGTCGGAAAACTTGCATGGCAGTGCTGCAAATGGGATCAGGCGGATTGCAGATTAGACATGTTGGGGACTAACTTCGTGAAACATGGCCATCCCCCCAAAACAGGTGTCTGAACTTGTGGAAAACCCCAGCAGAAAGCAAGATCAAGAGCAAGATCTACAGTTACGTGGTGCTATAAATAGGTGATCATCACAGAGGGGAAGAAAATCACTGACCATATTACATTACTCCTTTTGAATTTGAGCTATACATTCTTTATATATTTTGTGTCACCCTGTGAAAGGAAATAATAAGAACATAAATCTATCAAGATATTATAAACATAAACATCACAACTTACTGTATGTTGTGTGTAGAGCAATGTAGATCTTACTTTAATCACTTTCATAGTGTAGGCCTTACTTTTATATTTTCCTTTTAATACAAATGACTGTCAGCCACTTCGTAACTTTAAAAGAGTAGGGCTATGGTGGTGATACACATTATTTTTATATCATAATAATAAGGTAACATTACAAACTAACCCTATCCGTGGTTACATAAAACAGGATATTACATACAAACTGGAGACTGATTTTTCTGATTTCTTTCATACTATCAAACCTTTAATGGCAGCACCAAATTTGGCAACACATTTCTCAAAAATGTTTAACTAAGATAAATAAAATCAATTGTATCAATACCGTGATGCCTCTAAACCCATAGTGCTTGTCTTGCTTTTGAACATTATCTTCAAAACTTAATGTATGTAAAACCTGACCATTCGACATCACCGATGTCTTAAATATTAAATAAAAGGTGTCAGTGTTACCGCTGCAACAGTCCAGGAAAAGCGAACGTACAATCAAATGAATGTCGTTACTGGGTCTAGTTATTTCCATATTAGAAATGCATGCATTGCTACACGTATTATTACAGTAGAAAAGTCGTATTATTATTGCTATTATTTACGCAAATAAAACGTGCATCATAAGACTAAAACGTACCTTTGTGGAGATTAGGTACTCGACTAGAGTGCTCGCTTTCATACCAAAATTCATTTTTAACATGCACACAGATGTAATACGCGATATTAGTAATTGATATAGTTGAAGCTCTATAGTAAAAGTTTTACTAAAACGCATGGCTTCAAAACCAATACAGCCATGTTTAGAATACATGCTAGTCGCATTTAAATAAAGCGGGAGCCTGTTACTGTATATGTAAGGTTCTTCTGTGTAGTTGGGAAGTAGTTACTGTACCCTCCAAGTCTTAAAGATGGAAGTCTGTATTGATTATAACACCCCGGTGACAGTGTCAATAAATAAGCATTATTACAAATCATAGAATTACGCGTTCGTTGTGTACTCAGTTATTACATTTCACTGAGCATTTATTTTTTAAATGAACTTATTTTCTCAAACCTCACAGCATCAACTACAGACATCTTCCTTCATAAGACACGTCGTTGATTTTTTACTTTAAAAGCATATTCCAAATACTCAACCTTAAAAAATGTTAACGTAGTACAATACTATTCAACAATCCCCGCGGTACTAAAAACAAATTTTAATGTCTACATTATTCCATAATGGTCACTACCACAAAACGAGAAAACATGAAATTGCCAACTTTTGATTATGACATTTCCCATGAGTCTGGATGAGAAATGAGACAAAATGCTTGCAGTAGCGGTGTCTTTGTCTGACCAAGAACGCAGTATCAATTATAACTTACCTATGTTCTTCCGACCCCAAGTCGGGGTCCGAGTTTTCATTGGACTTGACCGGCTCATCCCCTGTACGAGGGTGATGCGGCCCCGGGGGCAAATAAGTGGAGAGAAGGTAGAGATAGAAAGTAGCCGCAGTGACCAGTAAAATTAACCCCGATATAGATCGCATGGTCCCAGGGCTAGCACTTCAGAGGCTAAATCTCTAGCTCCGGAACTTACAGAGTGACAGCAATGTTGTTTGAGCACTGAGCAACTTAACCTCTCCCTACAGTATCCTTGTACAGACAGCGGAACTACATTACTGTGGTAACAAAAATAAAGGGGAACATTAAGAGCAGTCGGACTGATAACAGTAAGACGGATCACGTATATCCGTCAAAATATCTCTGCCAAGCTAGCGTCGCTAAATGCAGCTAGCATCACGCTACTCGATGTCAAAGTCCAATGTAAAGTCAGTGTGGTACTGGCGTAGTTTTGCGTCAGATGCACATGGCCTTGTAGCTTTAAACGTGGACTTTGAAGTTACGTATATGCTACAACCTCAGATTTAAACATGTTGCAGAGAACTGTTGTTTCTTTTATCAATAAATGTATTGCTTCTTAACAATAAGCGTTGCTCAATTAGATATAGACACTCATTCAACAAGAAAACCGATTCACTTCCATTAATATCTACATAAAGATGAAATTTAAAAAGTATAAAAAAAAATAATGGTGTGGAATTTTACTTGTGTAAACTCGGGAGTTTGACCTATCTGACTAGCTGTGTGCACTCATATCTTCCTTTTGGGGCAACTAAAAAACATAAGGTTAAATGTTTTGGTTGGCAGACTACATTTACGTATTGCGGTGAGGATCTCACCTGGTTAAAGTTCAAGGTTTCGTAGGTATTTCACTAGCGCATCTGTTAGTGGAACGATAGTATTATCAGTCTCTGTGGAAAACAAAATGGCAGTTTATACTCGCATTCCTGGCTCCGTTGCTGTAATAACGTTGACTAACCCACCCGTCAATGCACTCAGGTAAGCTTAATTTAAGTAAAAATAGTTATGTATTCTTGCTGGTAATGTCATTGACAACGCAACAGACTAAAGTTGAAAGGAAAAGTACTGTAAGGATTTTTTAGTTAAATATTTTCATAGGTTACTGGGCAAACTATGTAAAATAAGTGTGCTGCTATAGACATCTGCACTAGCTGTGCAAGAACGGTGTGTATGCCCTTAGTAGCTATACTGTACAATGAGCTGCAACATTGTTTTCACCCTCAAGCTGCGTGTTCCGGCTTTATAAAATAAATGTCTGTCATAAATTAACATTATTAAATTATCACCACGAAACATACGGTACACCTATTGCCTCTTTTAAAACTTTATATAAGTTATGAAGGGTAATGTAGTCTTTGAACTGTGAACTGTCCTTCACTTTTTTCTTGTCCGTCTGTTTATTTATGATGTCAATCAACATTCCCTTTAACAAAGCCCTCAAAATATTTTCTTGCAGAAACTAGGAGGGAAATTATATAAAGTTCATACTATGTAATAGCCTTCACCAGTTTGTACCTTCTGGTTTGTGAAGGTTTGCACTTAATTTAATTTGTGAAAAGTGCTCTTAATTTAATGCAGATCTATAATTTAGGAGGTATGAATTCACTGTATGAATCTGTCTGTGCTATGTACATTGGGAACACTGCAATGTTGATAATGTGGATTGTTATAATGTCCTCCAGCTCCACAGTACGTAAGGCCATCAGTCAGACAGTAAGCAGAGCTGGTGCTGACTCAGAAGTAAAAGCTGTTGTGCTGTGTGGAGACAACAGGATGTTTTGTGCTGGTAAGGAAAGGACTGTGTCTGTTATTGACAAAGTGGCAGTTAGGTTCTTGGTTGAAAGTTGAGTGGCCATTCTTTAGCTTGAAAAATATAGCTTAGTATGAGCACAGTATGAGCTATGTAAACAAACTGAACTTGGAACATTAAAATAAGTTATCAAATGCCTGTGATATATTAGTAATTCTGAAAAAAAAAATGGGTGTGGTCCAAGCTGATATTCAGTATATATGGGCTTTGCCTGAACACTCAGATGTTGTTTAGCAGGTACAAACATCAGCTAGCCAGTGCTAGAGCTGATAGAACAGTAGGCACAAGCTAAGTAAAGCCTAAGCTAAAGTCTGGAGAAAACAGTTGAATTACCTTGGAAGCAGTAATATTCAAGGAATGCCAAACTCATTAAAAGCATTTAGATTTAAATTAACATTGGATTTAAAACATTATGCTTTAAATCTACTTCTCTTCGTGAAAAATCAATAAAAACACATTTATTTTATTGAAATAGGTAGGTCATGTACCTATTTGGACTTTGTAACATTGATTTTATCCCCCTGAAAGTGCTGTAAACACAGCTTAGCTGGAGATTATTTTTGAACATGGTATGTGAAACAGTGCACATGAAACTGTGAATGCTTTTAAGTCTGGCTTCACCAGACTGGAAAAAAGGCAAATATTAATGACCTAGCAGCAATTCCATTCATATATGAGAGGCCTATAATAAACCCATTTATTTGTTCTCTTAAAAAATGTGCAAATTCATAAAAATGTTTAAAAAATATTGCCAGTTCATATTCTTTTCATCCTCTATTAGTGTAATTGCCATTGAAATGTACTGTAGGCAGTGTTCTTGGTCTCTTTTGCTGACCAGAAGCTGCTGTCATGTTTTTTGTGGGTGCAGGGGCGGATATCCGGGAGTTCTCGGGGACGATGTCCGGCCCAGCCCTGGTGCCCCTGATCGACGAGATTGAGGGCGGCGAGAAGCCCGTGGTGGCAGCAATAGAGGGCGTGGCCCTGGGGGGTGGGCTGGAGCTGGCTCTGGGCTGTCATTACCGCATCGCTCACTCCGAGGTAAGGTCAACCAGCAAGCTAGGACATTTCTCCTCTTTCCTGCACCATCAGTATAATCATTAGATGCCAATAAGTCCTTGTATGTATCAAACTGCTACACAATGTTAGGGGTCTGTTGATTTTCTCGTGTCTGGAGAAGCTAGTAGGTCACAGGTAGCACTGCAAACAAATAATTTCATTAGAGAAAAAAATATGTTTCTGGTTGTGTGACAGGTTGAACATGTTTCGCTTTATTTTCTGTGTGTACTATTTGGTTATATTTTTATTTTCAGAACTTGAATAAGTCACGTATTTTATTGTATACCATCATGTTTATAAAGAGGACTTTTTGCGAGAAATAGGTCTTCACAGAGTGAAAATTCCCTTTGGAAATGGAGTTGTCTGTTGTCTCCTGAACATGACTTGAGTTCTGCACAAGTTACTGCTAATTTGGGGAATAGTTTGTGCAGTGAATTGACATTTATATCTGCATTAGTCTAATTTCATTAAGTACCTAGTGATCAGAGTTATCTAGACATTTGTGTTTTAGTGGGAGGTAGACGTTCGTTGCTGAAGTCATTCTTTCTCATACTGTTCTCCTGCTCTTGGTGCTGTAGGCTCGGGTAGGACTCCCAGAAGTCACGCTGGGTCTTCTTCCGGCTGCAGGGGGCACACAACGCTTGCCCCGGCTCACTGGGATTCCTGCTGCTCTGGAACTCATTACTACAGGTAACCATAGCAGCTTGACTTTGGCGCCTTGCGTATAAAGGCCTGAAATAAGAATCTGTGCAGAAAGTTAATTTTGTAACTTTGTTAAATCATCTAACATGAGAAAGGCTGAAAAGGTAATATTTGTAAGCAGAGTTCTCTGTAACATATATAACTGGTTACTTTGTCTCCTCACCAGAGATGAGACTTGTAACAGTTTCTAGTTAGGAAAGGGAGACCACCGAGCAGTGTCTTCGCTAACTGTATTTGTTAAGGTGTAATTAGATTTTGTAGTTCCATATTTAAGGACAATTCATACATGTAGTGTCACCGTACAATTGTAACATACTAAACTAGAAGACAAATTCATTACAAATGCAAAGACAATCTAGACTAAGTACATTGGTCTACACTTTTACTAATATTCCAGAGGAGCTAAACTAGTTCAGCCAACTAAATGTTGATTTTGCAAAGAAAATATTTTTTTTTTCATTATCCATCCATCACTTTTCCAATAGCTTTATCCAGTTTAGGGTTGTGGGACACCCTGGAGTCTAACCTGGCAAGCAATTGAGCAAGGCAGGATACAGTCACAGGTAGCCAGTCCATTACAGGGCACACGCAGGCACCAACACACTCACACTCACATCAGGGGCGAATTTTTACAGATGCCAATTAACCAACCAGCAACCAGCAACCAGCACAGATCTCAGCATGGTTGGTTAATCAAAAATGGACAGTGAGAGGCTACCAGAACCTCCAGAGGAAACTGATGCCAACACGGGAAGAATATGCTATCCCCACACAGAGAACACTACGAGAATTGCTATCACTGCTAAATACTACCATCGTGTCACCTGAATTTCTAATTTTGGTGAATAAATATCGATTTAAAGGCGCACTGGATATAAAAACAGCATTACTATGGATAAAATGAAATTTATTTCTAAATTCAAATTTATTCATTTTATTGTAACCCTGGCAAGGGAGGACCCTGCAGGAGAAATTTAAGCCTGTCAGTGCTGAAAGAAACAGTCTGGGAAAGTGAACCTGAAATTATTTTAGCTTTTAAGTGTATTTCTACTCATATATTGCAAATAGGTGTGCTTTGACATCATCATTGGTTGTCATTTTCATGTCGATAATGGGTGGTACTAGGGCTAGGGGCAGGAGTCTTGGATTGTCCAAGTACACTTACTGTGTTGGATTACTCAGGTGCCCACATTCTCTACCACTTGTAACACTAGCTGAGGAAAGTCCCTGTGTTGGAGCAACTGAGAGAAACTGCCTAGATCATTTCTAGACTCATCAATAAAGCAGAACTGGTTCAATTTTGTTTTCCATGTAATTCTCTCTTCTGAAGAAAAATGTATCTCAGAAAAGGAAACAAATAAGTAGTTTCTTCAGGTCAGGTGTCTATCATCTGGTTAAGTTCACTTTACAGGTGTCCAAGATTGTAGCTGGTACTTCACAGTGAACAGGATAATGTTTTATCCAAATGTGCTATGAGAAAAGTGCTTTTTGGTTGATAATACACATCCAAGGGCAATAATTGTGATTCTTTAAAAGATGGACACATTTGTATTCTTAGAAGAATACAGATGTGTTTGTGTTAATAAGCAGAAAGTTTACCATGATATTTTGTGTAGAATCTGGTGCCTTCTGTCATGAAGATCAAGCCAGGTCAAAAAGAGACTTGGTAGCAGCAGAACAAAAAGCATTAAACCCAGTGAGGAAAAGCAAAACGGCCAGTCACAGCCATAGAGCAGTAGTTAAATATAGCTCATGAGCAGACTATCAAAAGCAGCAGGAAATGCTTCCTTTAGGTTATCAAAGCTGGAGGAGGGTTCACTAAATACTGATTACCAGGGTATGAATGAATTTTAACATTGTGCATTCAGAAATATAACTATTGCTTTTGACAAACATTCTAAGAACTTTAGAAAGGTTACAAATGAGAGGAGGCCATTTGAGCTTGGCCCACGCAGCCATTCTGAAGTATTTATGCATTTCACTCATGCATAAAAAAATCTTGGCTCTGTACTGCGCTGCCTGTTTCTCCACATATGTGCAAGCAAGCACTGTAAAGTATAGACTTTTAATGTGATTTTGGTTTCTCCTTTTAATTTAAACCAATGCCGCAAATACTGTTGATTTAATATATGCCGCCTTAAAAGTAATGGGCTGGGTAGAGACGTTGAGTCTTTTACAGATTTAAGATTATAAATACTTTAGAAAGTTTAGAAACTAAGAACTTGAGAAAGGTTACAAATGAGAGGAGGCCATTTGGCCTTTGTAGCCCATCAGATCATCCACAGATCTCATTAAACAGTTTCTTGATAGAAGTCAAGAAACTGCTTTGAATTACACGTTTGCTTTTAACTCATGTTTAACTTATTATTATTATATTATATTGATCTCAATCTCATCAGATGGATTACTGATTTCCTAACAGATGGAACTCAGAGGTTGAGAGTCAACAATGTTTTATCTAACAAAAAGCATTCCTCTACTGGGTCCCCCCAAGGATGTGTATTGTCTCCCTTACTCTTTGTCCTATACACAAACGATTGCAAGAGCTATCACCACTCAAAACACGTGATCACATTTGCAGATGACTCTGTCATTGTTAGCCTGCTGCAAGCTAACAAGTGGAGCCACGGACAAATCGTTGATTAGTATGCCAGCTGGTGTGAACAAAACTTCCTCAAGCTAAAGGTGTCCAAGACTAAAGACATGATAATTGACTTCAGGAAACCCCCCCCACTCCCACCCTAACCTACATCAGGGGAGATTCAGTGGAGTTTGTAGAACAATACAACTTGCTTGGGGACTGTTCTGATCTCCAAGGTCAATTTCAAAGCCAATACTGACTTGATCCTCAAAAAAACAAGTGTCTTTTTTTCTTAAAGAAGCTTAAGTATTTTAAGGAACGAGTAATAGGTTTATTCCATGCTGAAAAAAAGCCACCTGAAGAAGGCTCCGCGGCCGAAACGTTGTGTTCTCTTTCTTCTTTTTTTCAGCATGGAATAAACCTATTACTTGTTCCTTTGCAGCCTGCGCATGCTGACGCAGCTACCCACCTTAAGTGTTTTAAGGTTGACGATTCATTGTTGATTTTGTTCAATCGGTCCTTCCTAGAATCTGTTCTAACGTTTATCCTGATCTGCTGGTTTGGCTAGAACTGGCAAGAACGAACTGGGCAGTCTTGTGAAAATGTGTCAGAAGGTCAGTGGTGCTGATCTTCCTCTCCACCATCTACCTTACACGTGTTTTGCGTAAATCAAAATCTGTCTATGACGATCCTTCACACTCCTTGTTTAATAATTTCCAGTTTCTCCCATCAGAACGCAGATACTGACTCACCAACTCCAAAACCAACAGATTTAAGCTCTCATTCATACCTGTAGCCATATTGTTACTTAACTCTTAACTTCTTTGCAAATATGTATGTATATCGTCGTTCTTGTTGTGTTTTTTTTTTTCCGTCTGCCTGTATACCAACACTGCTGCTGTAAAACAAATTGCCCTCTCGGGGATAATAAAGGCTCTCTCTCTTACTTATTTTGAAAAAAGTGGTACAGTATGTGCATATTTTCATCAATAGAATTTGAATGCATTTCTGGTATCTTACCAAGATCCTGCTGCTAAGCCTTTTTAGAAAAATCCTGATTTTTACATTCCAGGGTTCAGTTAGTCTTTCCTACAGTCCATACTGCACATTGTTTCCACATGATAGGGTACTGATTCTAATTTTAAAATAATGGGACTGGAAGTTGAAAAAAAATCTACCTTTAGTTTCACATTAATTTTTAAACTAGGTTGATAAAGTAGAGGAGGATGTGCACTCAACACTACAATAAGGATTTAAAAGCACTTTGGTCTTGCTTTTCTAAAAAAATGATGCCATTAGCAGGTGTGAGCCTGGTCAGTACCTGGATGGGAGACCTCCTGGGAAAAACTAAGGTTGCTGCTGGAAGAGGTGTTAGTGGGGCCAGCAGGGGGGGCTCACCCTGCAGTCTGTGTGGGTCCTAATGGCCCAGTATAGTGAAGGGGACACTATACTGTAAAACAGGCGCCGTCCTTGGGATGAGACGTAAAACCGAGGTCCTGACTCTCTGTGGTCATTAAAAATCCCAGGACGTTTCTCAAAAAGAGTAGCAGTGTAAACCCGGCTTCCTGGACAAATTTCCCATTGGCCCTTACCAATCATGGCCTCCTAATAATCCCCATCTATGAATTGGCTTCATTACTCTGCTCTCCTCCCCACTGATAGCTGATGTGTGGTGAGCGTTCTGGCGCACTATGGCTGCCGTCGCATCATCCAGGTGGATGCTGCACATTGGTGGTGGTGGAGGGGAATCCCCATTACCTGTAAAGCGCTTTGAGTGGAGTGTCCAGAAAACATATTAATAATGTGACACACCCAGGTGATTGTTATAGGATCTTCTTAGGTGTGTCCCACGAAAACAGATAAAACAGCAGGTAAAAGTAAGTGATAATTTTATTTAAAGTGTGAGGCGAAACAACAGAAAATGCATAACAAAAGACTTAAGCTCTGACTAGGCTTCTTCAGTCCCACTCTACACTATATCACAGCAGCTAAGCAGTCTATAGACGACTCTTCAGTAGAAAAACTTGAATCTTCTCAAAACCAGTTCAAATAATTTGCATTGAAACTGAAATTCTGCTACTCATGTGGGCGACACAGCTGGCCATTAATAACTTATTTCCTTTTGAAAGAATCAAAACAAATACAGCAGAACCCCATTTTATGTTTATACTCCTTAACCTATGTGTTACATTGTGTGATTTAATAAACGCTCAAGTGTAAAACTGCACCCTGAGATGACAAGCAGTTTGCATATACTGGACTGTATATGTGGTTTGGATGATTACCTTGTGTAGCGGAACTTACTGTCCAGTAGTGTCGTTATGGAGGATCCACATACTGTACATAAACCTATATTATCTCTAGTATACAAAAATATTTATTAAACTTAGGCTGGATCAACCTGTTTTTACCCTTGTTAAAACCTGTGGTTTTACCCTTCCTGCCCAAGTTTTTTTTCATTACCTTCACTGTTCCACTTTTCCATTTAGATCTTATATATACATAATGGCATACCTATATATGTTATGCCACTATATAAAAAGGAACAAGTAATAGGTTTATTCCATACTGAAAAAAGAAGAAAGAAAACAACGTTTCGGCTGTAGAGCCTTCTTTGGGTGTCAGCTCCACAGCCGAAATGTTGTGTTTTCTTTCTTCTCTTTTCAGCATGGAATAAACCTATTGTTTGCAGCCTACGCATGATGACGCAGCTACCCACCTGAAGCACTATATAACAATATACAGATACTATATATATATTATATATATAGTATATTGGCATATCCTATTTGACCAAATATCAAGATATTTGATACTTCAGTATGTTTGGATTTCTAATAGACTTTGTTTGAATGTTTAGTTATTTTATGTTTCATTAGCTGATTACATTACTGGTATTCTTGTACTACATAAATATGAATAAGAATAGCTATGGTTTGAAGCACATCTGTTATTGGAAAAAAATGTAGCATTGTGTAAGATTTTCAGCATTATTCTTTTGGGGCAAAATAATTTGTTTCTGCTGACCACTAGCACAGTCTCTCAGGATTTCCAGGGATCCCAAACTATTGCTTCTAAGAAACTGAATCCTAAATATTACTTAATCCTTCATCTAAGCTCTGTTAGGATGTGAAACTCAACTTGTTCTTTAAAATGGTTTCAAGAATGGATGCTTCAGAAACACATTTTCCTGATCCTACATAGATAGATTCAGAGAACTTGAATTTCTTAGTTTTGATTTCATGCAGTATACAGATCTGAACTTTGGGCTATGCTGCTAATGTTTTGATTAAAATCCCTCAAGTTCTTTCTCACACTTTTTTCATATTAAATATATGTATACATACATATATTCATTACTTTTCATTGCTTCATTACTTTATTGGAATGCATAAATATGTATTCCCTCATCAAGAGAAGCTGCAAATTAATTTAACTAGTATGAGACGTACTGGAATTATTATAAATAAGACCTTCCGCATTCTACTTTACTGTAATCGCACAGTTCTGTCATTTAATCTAAGTTGCTAATGGACTGGTGGTGTATCACTGCAGAATGAAGTCTATTTTAATTAACATCAGAAAAGCGTATGTTCTTTTTTGTCCTCTTAAAATCCCTTCATTTTTATAATGTATTATAATATATACAGTATGTTTATATATAATATAATACTGATGTCCTTACACATCCTTGTACATTTACCTGACCCTACTATTGACTCTGATCTTAGATAGAACCCACAGCCACCCAGAGGTCTTGTGAAGTGAAGTGTGTGATTTAAAGTCTGTGAAACAAACTGACTAAGAATTAGGGGTTGGAAGTGACTCCCCTTCCTCCCCAGACAGGTTAACTCTCTTTTTTTTTCTTTCAGGGCGGCATGTGTCTGCTCCAGAAGCCCTGAAGCTGGGGATAGTGGACAAAGTGACCGATGGGAATGTCAGAGAGGTGGCAGTGGAGTTTGCCCGCTCAATAGCCGGTAGGATCACAGAGTGATATATTAATGAAATATTTATGGATACAGATACTGATCTGCTCTTTAAAAATGAATATATTAAGGGTGTGCATACTGTAGCTTTTTCAATAAATATGCTAATGTTAAGAGGAAATGCAACACTCGTTATCTGATCTAATTTTGTGAATAAAATCCCAGCAAATGCAAACAGATGCACAAATCAAAGAATCATGATAAAGTTTGAAATGTTATGAAACTGTCAGAACAGAAACCTTACAGCAGTTAGTGTCAGGTTTGACCTGAGTTATCAAAACACTCCTGGATCTTGATGCACAGACCTGATCAGCCTCCGGACAGTTTGCTGTAGGCTGTTCCACCACTCCTCTTGTGCAGCTGCTGCCATGTGGCTCTGGAAGTTTTACTCCGGCCAGTTTTCTCTCCTGACCTCTCCTGAGTCCAGTAAAATACTGGACAGCCGCGTTTACCTGCTGTTGATGGAATCGGTTAGTTGGTCTCTCCAATGATTTATTGGACTTAAGTCAGAAGAGAAATTTAGCAGCAGATTTAGGAAGTGAAACCCTACATTGTGAAACTCTGACTTTTCTATTACTTTTTACTTATAGGACATACTTTTGCCCACTTAGTTTAGAAGTGTTTTTTAAGCTTTAGTACTCATTACTGGTCAAAGGGAGCCAAAGAATTTCTTTAAGAAGATTAAACTTATTGCAATCTGAAGCAATGTGAACTATAATTTAGATAAATTATTAAGAGAGTTATTGCGTTGCGCAGGATGTTATTAGCAAAACTATATTTTTATAATAGCCCATGTAATCCTTTGGTGCTGAAATTTAGGGAAACAAGTTTTTGTTGTGGTATAGTATCCTAGATGATCATTGATTGAATTTCAATTTGTAACCAGTAGAGGGAAGCAAAGTCTTTCCAAAATAAGGGATACATTTCAAATTCCAGTTTTTCTTTTTTTGGTTTTAATCTGCTATTAGGTGTCCCTAATGTAAGAAATAATAAATGAAGTCATAAGGAATAATATTGTAATTTAATCCAGAACTTCATGATGTTATCTAAACTCTCAGTACCATTCTTCTGGATAGTGGTGTCTCTGTCCATTTCATATTGTAACAGTTTTCACTTCTTTTCACAGCCTGGACCATATTAAGATTAAAGAAGAATACAACATTTATTGGCTTTACTGGTTCCAGATAACATTACTGCTATTCTGAGAGTATGGATAGTTTATCGAGGCAAAAGCCAAGATACTGAACAGATGGCAGTGTTAATTATTTATCAGAATTCTACTCTCCAGATATGTTTAATGCCTATTATGAGTTGACTGGCACTTAAACATACTGGAAAATATGATTTAGTGCACTGTGTGCATGGGATTATAGAGAGCATTTATGCTAAGCTTTAACCCTCAGAGGATTGCCTTTGAAAGGTTAGTTCAATTTGAAGTAAAGAGATAAGAGTTTTTCTTGTCTGTCCTCTTGCCTAGGTTTATCTGTATCTAAGTCATTCACTTTAAGAAGCAATGCTGCTTTTTCACCGCAGTTAAAGAACATACCCATTACAAACCATCTTTGTAATAGCGCTGTGAACCGTTACCTCTGAGAATACTTAAATGAAGGTGATTAAAGAACTTCTGAGCCTGATGTGTAAAGGTCCAACAACCACTTCACAATATTAAAAATAAATAAAAAATCAACTATCATGCTATCCTCCAATTTGAGAAAACACTTTCAGCATCTTTGCCTGTTTTCATTGTTTCAGTACACTCCGCTGCCAGAAGTGTTCATTGTAGTTTTTTAAATGTTCGTTTTTTACCTTCAAATGATGTTATGTGACTGTTATGTTGTGGATATGATAGGGAACAAAGTATTTTCAATAGGCACTTGCTGCAACAGCATTGCCTTAACACATTTTTTCTGTATTATGTTCAGTGGTGTTCAAGGCTCCCTCTTGAAATATAGCATGCCAAAACTGATGTCAGAAGACGCTAGGGATGCAAAGAGTCCTCCGGTAATAAAAACCTGTTAATAAGCTCTAGTGGCAAATCCTGCATGTCTGAATGCTGGAGGAGGTGGATAACATAATGTGAGTGTATGTATGCAACTGAAAGAGAGGAGAGCCCCTCTGGTTTTGTGTTAAAATATCCTTGACAGTTGTGATCAAAATTCCTTTACTCTTTTGATGTATTATTCAAGGAGTTAAAGAAGATGAGCATTATTAGAATATTAATCACTTTCTCTTTTTTCTTATTCTATGTATTTAATTTGTAATAATTGCTGAATTGGTTTCTAAGAGAGTGCTGCACAGAGTGCCAACAGCTACAGGGTTGGTATTAATGAGGCTTCGCTCTAAAATGTTGGGGAGAAAAAAAAAATGCACAAATGTTGTATGAATAGACAGACAAATTCACCCACTGCTACAGAGAGAATAATTATAACACTTTTCGACAGATTTTTTTCTGGAAAAAAGAGTTGAAGGAAAGGTCTATCTTACCCTTAAAATGCTAAGTGCGCATTTTCAGTGTATAGTGAATTTAGCTTGTTCTCTTTTCCTTAGGAAAACTGCGTAACTGCGTAAGATGTTACAAATTCATTACTCTGGGAGTCTCCTGGCTCTGAAAAAAGACACATTAAATTTAGCGTGGAATTTAGCTGCACTATGTATTTTTTAGTTTTTATTTTTTGTCTACGATACCTATATGCAATGCCTATTTGATAGACATAATTGTGCTGCATTTGGGTTGTAGGGTAACCCCCGTGTAGAATTTCAGTATTGTTTAATTGTTCTCTACCAGCATGTAATTAGAAGATGCTTTAAAGAAAAATACTTTTTTCTTGTACTGTATGCATTTGAGTGGCATGGAATTTCTCTTTTATTCACTGCCCTAATTCAAGATGTGACTGGCAATAAATCATGTAATACAACAGGAAAATGATCATATTCATTCATATGAGTAATGAGTCTTTATGGGTTTATTTTGCCACACTCTGTAAATATTGAGTCCAAAATAATTAAGAATGCATTAAGGATGCCTGGCTGTGGAGGTAGATATTCACAAGGTCTGCGTACCAGGGTCAAACTCCATCTATAATATCTGGCCATTCTTGCAGCATTGTATATACTGTGATGGGGGAGCTCCCGAGTCTCCTCTGATAAACAGGAATTTACCAAACTCATTCCACTGTTTGTCCCTGGAGGAAGGTTGACAACTGCACTCATCCCCATTAGTCTTTTCTTACCAGAATTCATCTCTCAGTGTTGCCACTCAAGTCTCTGTAGTTGTGACTGGTGGACGTATGACATTTGTTTCCTTTTAGTCTCTCTTCTGCCTTTTAGGTGTTTATTTCTTGCCTGTCTAACTGCCATTAAAGCTCTTATGAATGAATCCATTTACATTACTATCTAATGGATCTTCTAATATTGAAAGCAGATTGTTTGTTAGTTGTGTGGCTTTTGCTTCTTGTTCAGTGACTTGTGAGAAATGAATTAAGGATAAAAATACGTTCTTAATTAAAATGAGTTTACCCTAGAAACACTTTACCTTGTTAATACCTAAATGGGAGTCATTTTATCTCCCACAGTAAAAAAAGTATTGTTCAAATTATTAAGCCAAAGCAGTTGAACCAACCATGACTGACTTCTTTCTTGTATATTTTAATTATGAAACTACGTGGGTGTTAAATGTGTTACAAAGCTTTATAATAGATCAAGGTAAATATACAGGGGCTTGGCTGTGTGATGGAAAGTAGTAAAGACTGACCAGTAGAAGTCTGTTCTCTTGTAAATGGATCTGCATGACAGGCCAGGTGCTGTTCACACATCCCTAATTATAGGCTGGCGAGCTGGAGCATGAAGCTCTTAGTGATGGTGATTGATTAATTGACCATTATGAAGATGCAGAAGAACTTATGAATGATTAATCCGTCAATCAATGTATCCTGGCTATCTAATGTACCGACAGCTATAAAACCTGTACAGTTTCTATATGTAGTCAGAGGCTGAGATATGAAGTTGTGGAGAAACAGACTAAGCTGGAAACTATATATCTTTATGTTTATTTTCAGCTATTTGTTCTTAATTAAGAACAGATTTTGAATCCCATGAGTGGCGTCATTTCTGCTTACCTGATTGTTGGGGTCTGAGCCCACTTCAACAAAGAATGCAGTCACCCCAGTCTGGGGGTTGAAACTCAGAGCAAGAGAAGCGAAGCTCCACACAACCACAACCACAAAGCAGTGCGTTTGGGCAAAGTCTGGTAAAGGTGGGCAGCAGATCATTTCCCCCAGACATCTGGGGAACATCAAGAAAGCGAGGGCTTAGGTCTTGCCTCACTTTGCCTCCCTCCTAAATGTGCATTTTAGGAAGACCACATCTTTATTTTTAAAGATTTTTTAATAAGAAAAACACATAAAATAATATTTGCACAACATCAATTGGCATCCTACCAAATGCCTCCTTATCTTGTTTTACTACTGCCTCAGGATGGCTTCTAGGCTCCTCGGAAATGCTGAGTGGCAGATAGATGCCAAGGGCCAGCAGGAGGTAGGGGACATTGCTTTTGCTCTGTGGGTGAAAAGGGACATTTGTCATGGGAAGATAACTATCATATACACTGTATACAGAGCCTCTGTCAACTCTGATTACTGTCTTGTTAAAATAATTGCCTCTTGCCTTGATTCCAGCCTGGCAGAGGAATGTGCTTATGGAGGGAGGTCTGTGTATTAGCCTGGGGTACTTACACACAAGAACCATGCGGCCTGTTCTGTTCCTGTCTAACATTAGTCATCTCAGTTTTACTCCTCTTCCCTTTCCACCTCCTACAGCTCACTAATAACTGCAGTTCTCTGGGATTTGCAGGGGATAACCTTTTTGTTGTGTTTCCCAGTCTGCACATAAAGATGACAGTCTTTCTAATAGATGCCTTCCTTTGCTGTTTTTTTCTAGTAACTGCAGGCATTTTTTTACTCTTGAGAGAAGGCATTGTCTGTTCACAAATAAGT